CGCAAATCTCGAGCCACACAATGAGCGAGCGAATAATCAGGAGGCACGGAAAGAGGTCTCGTTGATCTTCTTTGGTTACACCATAGCGAGCCTTCTCACGGCTATTGTATCGGGCCATGAAATCGTCAAAGGACATCTCCGAATCAGGGGGATCAAAGCTGCAGGTTCTCACGGTCCCAGCACGATCTTCTATTTCGCCTTGGTAGGGGCTCAAACGGTTGGAAATGGACTACCCTCGGTTTTCCTTTTTGCAATTTTTCTGATACGGTATACGACGTCATTAATTCTATCCATGACTTCGTATGGCCCTTCCCACGAGGATTGTAGCTTCGGAGATAACCCACGACGTCTCTGCGGGTTATATAGCCACACCAACTTCCCTGGTTGGTACCCTCCATGCTCAGCTTGAATGTCGTAGTGTTCCTTCATTCAGTCACTAGCACTTTGAATATTTAGGCGGACTCTCTGATGAATGTCGTCCATCCTTTGACGTAGTGTGTGGACATAATCTTCTCCGGCGACTTCTTCTCCCGGTCGGCAACCAAATTTCAGATCACAGGGTAGGCGCACTTCCCGTCCCATAACGATGCTGGCTGGAGTTTGCCCTGTAGATGCAAGAAATTTGTCCCAGTCTCTTTGGTGGTCAGAGACTACTTTGGCCAGATAACGGTTGATAGTTCTGTTCATGCGTTCAACCATCCCGTCGGATTGTGGGTGTAGAGCAGTCGTCCTGGTCTTGCGGATGTTCAGGACTTCACAGACGCCTTGGAACAGATTGGACTCAAAGTTTTTCCCCTGATCTGAATGAAGCTCCATGGGAACACCAAACCTGCAGATCCATTCTTTAACAAGGGCATCAGCAATCGTGGACGCTTCTTGATTTGGCAACGCGTAGGCCTCGACCCATTTGCTGAAGTAATCCATTACTACCACAATGTATTTGTTGCCATCGTTCGTCTCCGGGAAAGGACCAGCCACGTCGATCGCTATTCGTTCGAAGGGACTACCAACATTGTACTGGCGCATAGGGGCTTTACCACGCTTTTGTGGCCCATTAATGGCTGCGCAAATGTCACATTTCTTACACCAGGCCCTCACATCTTCTTTGCAGTTCACCCAGTAGAACCGTTCACGCACCTTGCCAAGTGTCTTGGTAACACCAAGATGTCCTCCGCTGGTTCCATTGTGAACTTCCTCCAAGACTTCTGGGACCCTCTTCTTTGGAATGACGATCTGCCTTCTCTCTTCTTGTCCCTCCGGTCTCTCGATCACACGGCGAAGTAGTCCGTTATCTATTACCAAGGAATTCCACTGGGCCCAGTACGACTTTACTGCGTTCGGCGAATATCTGCAAACTTCTTCCCACGTTGGTCTTTGGCCTGTGTTTTTCCAGTTAATTACTAAACCTAATTCCTGGGTCACTGGTTTGGTCATTTGCAAGATCTTCGGGTTGCCAACTATCATTAACCACAGTTGTTCTTAGGTGTTTCACTTCTTTCTCTTCTGCTCGGGAACAATGCTTACAGTCCTTAGCGCAAGGTCTTCTGGAAAGTGCGTCGGCATTTCGATGGATTGCCCTAGCTCGATGTTCTGTGTCGAAGTCAAATTCTTGTAATCGTTCAATCCATCTAGCTACCTGCCCTTCAGGATTCTTAAACTGCAACAGCCATTTCAAAGCAGCATGGTCTGTTCTTAACAAGAACTTTCTTCCATAGAGATACTTGTAGAAGTGTTCCACTGCTTTAACTACTGCTAGTAATTCTCGTCTGGTTACACAGTAGTTCCTTTCCGGTTTTGACAAGGTCTTACTAAAATAACCAATGACTTTTTCTTGACCATCCTGGATCTGAGACAGAACAGCGCCTAATGCAACATTGCTAGCGTCGGTATCCAATATAAAGTTTCCGTTGCCAAGAGGGGGTAGCTAAGCATGGGCGCACTAGTCAGGGCCTTCTTCAATTTTCGGAATGCCTCGTCAGAATCTGAGTCCCAAGAGAAACGCCTCTCGCCTTCGGTAAGTCTGGTCAATGGTTTTGCGATGGTGGCGAAACCCTGTACATAGCATCGATAGTATGTGCATAGTCCCAAAAAGCTTCGTAGTTCATGTTTATCTTTAGGTATCGGCCACTCTTCCACTGTCTTGGTCTTCTGTGGATCTACCGCAACTCCTTGGGAGGAGACTACATGGTCCAAGTAGTGTACCTTTTCTTGACACAGATGACATTTCTTGGGGCTAAGTTTCAAACCAGAACTCCCTAGTCGCTTGAAAACTTCTTCCAAATTCTTCAAATGATGGTCAAAGGATTTCCCAACCACACTATGATGTCATCCAGGTACACTAAACAGGTAGTCCAGGATAGTCCCTTTAACACAGACTCCATTAGTCTCTCAAAGGTAGCTGGCGCGTTGCACAATCCAAAAGGCATGACGGTAAATTGCCACAGTCCGAGCCCACCGAGAACGCTGTCTTCTCTCTGTCTTTCGGCGCCATGTCCGACTTGCCAATATCCACTCTTCAGATCTAACGTAGAGAATATCGTTGACCCCGCCAGTGTGTCTAGAGTATCGTCTATCCTCGGCAGGGGATAGCTATCCTTCTTGGTAACATTATTGAGCTGCCGATAATCAACACAGAACCTGGTGGTACCGTCTTTCTTCTTTACTAGTACTACCGGCGATGTCCACGGGCTGTTAGATGGTTCGATGACACCCTCTTCTTTCATTTCTCGAAGGATTTTGTCAGCTTCTTCACGTTTGGCGAGCGGAAGTCTTGTTCAGATTTACGGGAATCGAGATCCTCGTTTGCTGCTACAACCCAAAGCTGAGATCGGGAGAGAAAACTGTAGACTGCTATTTCTACCAGACTTCGCAATGTACCAGGGGCCAGCTTTGCAAATACCTTCATTCACCGTATACATCTCGGGACGAGCATGTGCCTAAGAAGGGGGCAGTGTTGCGAGCCGGTGTGGACTCGACCTAACCTTACACCTGACACCAATTGTTACGTTTTTCGTCGGTTCCGTGTGGATAGAAAGTCACAATTTATTTAAGCACTATTTATTTAACACTAATTAACAAAAATAATAACGATAAAAGACTTATAGAACTATTTACAAACGATTTATAACTAAGAATTTATTTTGAATTTTAGCGCGTCAACTGTATATTTATAACTGCCCTCTCTAGGCCACTGCCGCCGGCTTTTATACCGACAGGTAAAAGAAATCTAGAATAGTCCAAAGATCGTTAGGCGCATAGAGAAGGTTTTCGAATGTTCTCGTATGTACGCGTCCATTCTAGTGGGTCTCGATTCTTCTCGAACGAATGAATCATTGCGGTGTCTATGCGATGTTAAGGTCATCCGAGGGCGGGCCATATTGTGAGGTTAGGTCGAGTCCACACCGGCTCGCAACAATATTTTTGCTGTTTTTGACACACATTCAGACACCATAGATAATTTTATTTCTAAGTTAAATAATCGTTTTCCTTCCATTAAATTTACGCATGAAATTGAGGAACAACGACAGATGTATTTAAACCATTTCTAGATGTATTAGTTATTAGAAATACTAATAATTGCCTCTGGAATTTGATATCTATAGGAAAAATACCACCACACGCAGATATATTCCTAATGATTCACATCATAGTGTTGAACATAAAATGGCTAGTTTAAATTTCTTAGTTCATAGATTACTTAGTTTCCCACTTTCTAACGAAAGATATGAAATAGAAAGAGATTACATTAGGAATGTAGCTGAGTGTAATGGATATTCTCCTTCACTAGTTGATAAATTAATTAGAAAACGTAGGTATAGGTTAATGATTTCTGAAAATTCGACTTTTCAAGTGGAGAAAGATACGGCTAAATATTTTTCAATACCGTTTCATAGAGAGTTATCCCGTGGTCTAAAAGGAATTTTTAAGAATGTCAATTATAAACTTGTGTATAGTGCTAATAATAAATTACAACAATTATTAGGTAATCCAAAGGATAAAACACCTCCACTGGAAAGGTCGGGTATTTATGAAATTTCTTGTAAAGATTGTAATCAGAAATATGTTGGGCAAACTAGAAGATCAATATTAACTAGAGATTTAAAGAACATTTAGCTCAGATAAGATATGGTAGACCGGATAAATCTTGCGTTGCCGAACATATTGTTGATAAAGGCCATTGTATAGATCTTAATAATTTAAAATTAATTAAACAAGTCTCAAATTACAGGCAATTAGATGCATATGAAAGCATCAGAATTAATAAATGTAAAGATAGTATGAACAGAGACAACGGTCCAATTCCTTCAAGTTCTTTGTTCCTACTACTCTAGTGGCGGAAATAACTGTTACGCTCAGTGGGCTCTGACTCGGTTGGCTAGATTTTGCCACGCCCACTCGGTGCCTACTGGGCGAGTATATAAACGCTCAACTTGTAGATTGTACTTTAGTTTATAATCATCTGCTGATGATGCTAACATGGTTAGCGAAACGCGCGTCCAGTGTAAAAGTAAAAGTGTTTTGGTTTGGTTTGGTGATTTACTGTTTTTATTTTTATCTTGATTAGTTTAGGATTTATGCCAAAAAAATGAAAATAATACGTTTATATTAAATGACAATATCTTCAGAACTATTGTATATATTGGAACGTAAGTTGGTAGTTTTATATTCTTAACCTCGGCAAGTTAAATGCCGTTTTCAAAAAAGTTCTAAGCCTTCTAGATTTCGCACAACAGCAGTCAAGTTTTTGTTTTCTTATGGCCGCCATTTTGAATTTTTATACTATTAGATAGAGCAAAAAATAATCTATACGTTGGTATCTACCTTAAAAAAAATAACCAATATTGGCATTCGACCACCGAAATGTTAATATTTTATGTAATTATATTCAGAGAATAATAAATAGTAATAACTAAAACGAATGTGTACCCGTAAAAATACCTAAATAGATTCATATAAGTATTAAATGATTTTAATTTGAATAAATGTATTATTAATTTCAGATCACTGATGCACACGATCCTGGATAGAGGATATAAAATGGTGAAATTAAAAATAGAGCGTAAAACCTAGCAAAAATGAGCAGTTTACTTAAGAGAGGACTTATATTTTGCACTTTCTTCGTCGCTTGTGCGGCCGCTGCCCTGCTCTTGGCGGGTTTGGGCACGAAATACTGGATACAAGCCAGCGCCAAGCGAATAAAGAATCCATTGGAAAGCGATGGCAAGATACACTTCGGATTATTCGAGGGAAGGAAGGAACTTAACGTAGCTTACGGATGGAGAACATATGACATAGATGGTAAGTTAAATATGTATTTAGAAAAAAATATATATTAAGCTTATATTATCTTTTGGAATGGCCATGCATGTAGGCTCACCTACCAGAGTATCCAATACCAGTTCTAGTACTATAGACTATGTTGTGTCATCTTTTGATCCTAACTCTATCGCCTGCAACGTCTTTAGCTCGGGTCTCTCTGATCATGAAGCAGTTTTAACTGAATTTTCGATAAGTCCAAAATCAAAAATGCCCCTCGTAAATTATGCCGTATTTTTTTTCAGAAAGAATGCTCAAAAGTTCAGCCACTTATGTAAAACAACCAACTGGGATACTAGCTCTTATGATGTCGACACCGAATTTTCTATTTTCGTAAAAACATTAACCAGTCTAGCGTTCAAATCCTTTCCTCTTAGGCCTATAAAAAATAAGCATAATAAACCTTGGACCACTAAAGGTCTACGCATATCTTCTAAAAACATGCGTTCATTATCTCACTTTAAAAAATTCTCAGAGAGTGTCTTCTTCCACAATTACGTAAAACTATACAGAAAAATTTATTATAAGACTATAAGAGCCGCTAAGGACCTTTATTATAATAGGAGAATAGTCAATTCTGGTAATGTTGCTAAAGAAACATGGTCTATTGTGAATGAATTGAGAAACAAAGCTTCTTCGTCTAGCAATATCTCTACCTCACCTGAGAACCTTAACGATTACTTTGTAAATGTAGCGAAAAACTTAACTAATACCATATGTCCTCCTCATGATCCACTTTCTTATCTCTCTAATGATAATGTAAACTTACACAGTTTCTTTTTTTCGCCCGTAGTTTTAGAAGAGCTTCGCAGTACAATTAATACCATCAAAAATAAATCCTCTTCTGGGACCGATGACGGGCTAACTTTAAAAATGTTTTCGAATCTGCCAGAAAGCACTCTGAATCACCTAACAACTTTAATAAACATGTCGTTCCAAAATGGTATTTTTCCAAAATGTCTTAAGACGGCAATAATCATTCCTCTGCATAAAGGAGGAGACAAAGATGAAGCTTCTAACTATCGCCCAATTGCACTCCTTCCAACGCTATCTAAGATCATAGAAAGGTTGGTTAAAAGAAGGCTCGTATCTTTTCTGTTTAAGTACAAAATACTTACTGAATATCAATTTGGATTTCTAAGCAACAAGTCCACAAATGACGCTATGTTTTCCCTCCTTAATAAAGTTTACTCTAGCCTAAGCAACCACCATTCTACAGCAACAATTTTCTGTGATTTTTCTAAGGCGTTCGATTGTGTAAATCATAAGATCCTAATTAATAAACTGCAGCACTATGGGTTCAGGGGATCATCTCTCGAATGGTTTAAGTCGTATCTGAGCAACAGAAGTCAACTTGTGAGGGTGGATACCACGTTGTTTTCTAGCAAGCCAATAGAATGTGGAGTACCACAAGGCTCAGTACTAGGCCCTATTTTGTTTCTTCTTTTTATTAACGACATTGCTAACATAAACATCAGTGGCAAAATATGTCTTTTTGCGGACGACACTAGCTTCGCTTGGAGCAACAAGGACATCACGGCACTTCATAGGATTATATCAAGTGACTTAATCACCATTAAATCTTGGTGCGATTCGAACCTCCTGAGTCTCAACATTTCTAAAACTAAAGCTTTGTCGTATAAAAACTCGTTGCAGCCTTTTGTACTTAACAACACCACCATTGACGTCGTAAAATCTGTAAAATTCTTAGGGCTTGTTGTGGACAATTCTCTGAAATGGGACATACATATCGAAGCTTTGTCGAAAAAATTGAGCTCTGCCTGTATTGCATTAAGGTCTGTTTCTAAGGAGCTTAACTTTATTTATTATGCACTTTTTGAGTCGCACCTCAGGTATGCCCTTCCATTCTGGGGTACGTGTTGTGCGACTCAATTTGACCGCATTTTCAAGCTCCAGAAGAGAGCTGTTCAATATTCACTGGGACTAAACAGCAGAACTCATTGCCGGGACTTTTTTAAAGAATTAAAAATATTGACTCTTCCTTCCTTATTTATATTTGAATCCGTTTGCCTAATACGTAAACATGTATCAGCTTCTCAAGAAAGGCCATCTCACACTTATCCACTCAGAAACGCGTAGCAAGATCTTTATCTACCTACCCCACGCTCAGAGTTAGTTAAAAGTTCAATATTATACAACTCGAAAAAAATTCACCTGCCATGAAATCAAATCCATAACATCATTTTTTTCATTTCGCAAAGCATTGAACTCTTATTTACTAGACAAGGCTTTCTACGCCGTAAATGAATTATATTTTGAAAATCGAATTTGATCTTGTAAACACTGAAATAAATTTATTTAGAGGTCATTGATATTTTACTATAAACTAACTAAATATTTTGAATATTATTTTTATTTTTTTGTTCTTTGGCATTGTAAACATTTATAAATGTTTATTTTAACAATAAGACTGACAATATTATTTGTATAATGTTTTGTATTATCTTTTGTTTGTTTGTTTGTGTACCTTGTTTTTTTACTTTGTTTCTTAGTTTACCTTTGTCTACAAATTGAAAAATTTTTTGACAATAAAGGCATTTATTTATTTATTTATTTAAGCCTGGTTGACATAGTACATACAAGTAGAGGTGGGCAAAGATTGAACGAGTCATTCATTTGAACGAGTATTAAAAATGAATCGTAAGATTCTATTCCCCGCTTAGAATACGGTTCGTTCAATTGAGTCGTAGAAATGAATCGTAGGGATTGAATCGGATCACTGCTGAATCATGACCAGCATGGATCCATAAAATCTGAACGAATGAGTCGTAAGAATTGTATGGGATCACAATACACCGGAAATGACTACAACAAAAATTGTAGTCATTTTCGGTGAAACAGGATGTGACCGAAAAGAATTGAATATGTCAATCAATCCAAATTTATGTTTCCTAATGTTATGTTAATTTTAATTTATTAATATACCAAATCTCGTTTTTTTATCTGAAAAAAATAAAAAAGTTATTGGGGTAAGCCATTTTTGAGACGCGCCCGGTATAGTCAAAATAATGGGTTGCAAATTTTTTTGGATCTATCTGAAAATATTGTATCTGTTGTTATATGTTGTATCTGAAAATACCTAAGCTGTTTGATTGCTTATGTAAATTACGCCTATTGTAGTAGAAATAAAATATACTTTTGAAGTAGGTATGAAAAAAAAACTCCTTAAAAATAAAAATATGGTAAGGCACATATTCCCTAAAGGTGAAGTTTATCGATAAAAAGTATCGATGTTTCTAGAACTTACGACCCAGAAAAATCAAAGATTTTCCTAGATTTAAGTATGAACAATCTTCGAATTGTCGGGGTTTTTAATAATTTAAATTAAATTATTTTCAAATGTACAGTGTGTCGTGTGTCAGAACTAAGATCCATACTAAAGTTATATTTTTTCTTATGGAACACCCGGTATTTTATTTAATTTTTGGATTCTTGGTTATAAAATAAGGCATTTATTATAAAGGTGCGTCTACATTGTTCGTGATCCTGCTCGCGCTCTTGCTTCTGATTTTGCTTTCGTTGCTTGCGCTCCTGATTTTCCTGTTTCTCAAGATCTTTCGGCTCGCAAGCATCGGCGTCCACATTGTATTGTAGTGCTTGCGTTCGTGCTGTTTGGACATGGACGATACAGAAGTATTTTTCATAGCGACTGCTAGTGCAATCATTATTGCAAAACGAAGGAGACAAAGAGAAAAAAGGCGGTGTTGGATGTTTAATAATTTCAAAAGTAGATCTCAGCACAGTGAAAGTAAACATCTACGCGATTTACAAACAGACAGAATGTTTTTTAATATTTTTATCGCATGTCCGCTACTGATTTTGAAAGACTTGTTAACTCAGTTGGTATTGAAAGAAAAAATACAACTTAGGAAGTGTATTTCGGTTAAAGAAAGAGTTAAATAAAGATTGGTCATAACATTAAGATTCCTTGCAACTAGAGACTCACATACCAGTTTGGGTTATTTATTCAAAGTTTCCAAGCAAAGCATTAAAAATAATACCAGGCGTATGACAAAATATAAATAAAGTTCTCAAAGATCAGATTAAGTAGGCAATATAAATACAGAAGAATATACCTGTACTGCAAGAAAGTTGTTTTCCATTTTATAAATATAGAGTTATATTTTATTAAAGGTATATATAATATTACTTTTACACTGGACGCGCGTTTCGCTAACCATGTTAGCATCATCAGCAGATGATTAAAACTGATGACTAAGTTTTAATCATCTGGTGATGATGCTAACATGGTTCAGTGTAAAAGTAAAAGTGTTTTGGTGTATTGTGATGATATAGTGTTCTATTTTGCAATGGGGAAACACCAGAACACCTCATCGCTGAGTGCGCCAAGACAACCATTCGTGCCATGCAGTTTGGTGCGACTGGGACTGATATCAGAGATGGAGCACTAACCTCTGTAAAACCGTCTCAGATATTGGTTTTTGTCAAAGCACTGAGACTGTATGCTGAGTTATAACTCAAGAAAGAGGGACACAATCGATCTGCAAAGTCGCGGTGATTAACCATCCTCCCACACATTCTACATTCTACATCGATTTTCTGCTGCATATAAAAAAGTATTTAAATTAAAAATGTTAATTTTACAAGTATAATATAGTATTACCCTTGATTTAAGGGTATTACCCTTGGTATTACCTTTAGATGAATAAATATTATCAAAAAAATTTGTTAAAAGATTTCCTTTAAAAAGTTACTTGGTATGTAATTAGTGGTAATTACGTTATTTCAATAAATAAAATTGTCAATCAATAGAATTTTCATGTATAACTATGACTAGTAAGTTAACGAATTCGTTGACTTTCTCTAAGTTATTCTAGTTTTTAAATTAAATGTAATTAACTCCAATGTCATAACCAGTGTAGATATAATTATTTATTTGTTTACGGCGACTACTCTAGATTTTGAACATTGTTTAAGAATTAAACTAAAGGATTTATTTATTTTATAAAATTGGAATCATACTCTACTAAACAGTTTTTATGCGAATTTAGGTTCAACTACATGAAGAAAATTCTAATGTCTAATAAGTAATTGTTAAAATATCTTTATTTGATATAAATAGAAAATGACACCCTAATAAAATTACGTATGACATGTCAACTTTTGACATTTTCGCATATGGTTTTTTTTTAAATTGTAACTTGCGGTTCATAACGACATTTTGGCTCGAAAAAAATAAAAAGTGTGTGGTACTAAATTATTTGTGAAAAATGTTTTTTTCCAAATATGCTGATGAGCCACCCTTGTTCCATTTAAAAAAAATGAGATATGATTAAAAATACGATTTGGACATCTTTTAACCGGCCAGAACAAGACACGACAAACATTAGACGATTAAATCTATTTTTCCAGGGTTCCTTCAGTAAAAATTAGTGTTTTTAACACAGCCATGACACTCTAGATTGAAATGTAAAATGCGATTTTTTTAAGCGAGAATGTCAAAAGTTGACATATGATATGTCATTCTATTCAGAATGTCATTTTCAATAGAATACAGTAAAAAAATACCGAGGGTACCATTTAAAAATCAAAAGTTTTAGTCATTTCCGGTGAAACAGGAAGTGGCGGAAAACAATTGAATACGTCAATCAATCCTAATATATGTCATATACTAACATACCAAATTTCGTTTTTTTTATCTGAAAAAATAAAAAAAGTTATAAGGGTGAGCCACTTTTGAGACGCACCCGGTATTTCTACAATGTGCTTTACCATTACCTGCATTTTCAATCAAAGTATAATTTTCGTGCATCGTCCAAATATTAAACTGTTTTATAATATATATATATATTTTATATATAAATTATCACCTAACCGTTTTGTATTTAGTTGTAAAGTGGTTCATTCACTGTTAATAGCATATAACTGTTTTAATTGTGAAACCTGTTTACTCAAGTAAACTAGTTGGTCATTTAAATTTAAAATTTAGGTAATGACACCGTAATCATTTCTTTTAATATTTATTTGCAGTTATTATTATTATTCTAAATATGGTAGCATTATAATAAATAAAAAAGGATTATCTAGGGTATAAATTATTTATTTATAAATAATCTACCAATCGTCAATAGAATCGTAATATTTCTTTTTTGTCCCACAGAAAATTGAAGATGGATTTAAACTTTATTTATAGTTTACCAATAAACGAAGACTAATATTACTTTAAAACTGTGATTAAAACGTAAAAAATACGTTGGAGTACATTTTAAGGAGATCGCGGAAGTTAGAACTCATTGAAACTCAGGAACTTGTTTCAGTCATCCTGCTTTTATTGTGATGCTATGTGTGACGTCACCAATCAGACTTAAACTTGCTGTATCTTAAAAACAGCAAGTGTTGCTGGGATGAAATTTAGAGCAGGATGCAACAGGGGTTCAGCGCAAGCATGAACCAGTTTAGACGATCCTGCTTCTCATGTGTTGCCAAGTGGGAAGTTAGCAACCAAAATAAAAGTAACTATAGCTGAAAATTGGTAGGTGTGGCTGAGTAGGAATTTGAAGCAGGATAAAGCGGGATTGTAGCAGCCCAAGCAGGATTGTATTTTATAATTCCTGCTTTCAAAGAGTTGCCAACTTCCCCGATCTACTTTAAGGAGCTGTTTTCTGTTTTCAAAAACAATGAGATCTTATACCGGATGGTGCATCGTCGTTGGTAACAGGGTCGGACTGGCCATATACTTAGGGACGGCGCCGGCCATTGCCAGCCGGGCCCCAGCCTTCGCGGGCCCCCCTGTCTTAGTACCTACATGTAAAGTAGTTCATTATTTATTCCTAAATAGAAATGAAACAGAAAAAAGTACCAGTAATATTCTCGGGTTATCCCCAAAACTATTCTTATTGGATTAACAATATGTCCATTTACATTTCATTTTGGTTTGCATTGCATTACGGTTAGTTCCCTAATCAAACAGTAACAACAAATCAATAGGGAAGAATTGACCAAAATGTAAGGCGAAAAAATACGTGAAAACATTCCACCCGGCCCGGTATATACCCAACGGGCTATCTGACAGTATTTTTAGATTTTCAAATTAACTGATAATTTGTGAGATACAGAGGCCAACTTAATTTTTTTAAATACGGACCTGCATTTTTTATTTGAAGTTTTGAAAGGACTCTTCTTGATACTTTTTTTTTGTTTTGGGTACAGGTTACAAGAACAAAACTATTTAATTATTATTTAAAATAATTTCAAGTCCGACCGTTGCCGATGGTCCACCCGACTCTGGTTTTTCTGTAAATTATTTAATCTGATCATATTGGAAATCTAAGATATATCAGATAGCCCTAATAAGGTGGCTATGAGAATGTGTAATTAGTTTTTTGATTTTCTAAAAAGCAACGACAGAAAAAAATAAAATTTATTTTCAAAAAACTCAGCAATCCTTGAAATTTTTAAAACTTTTTGGATGTCATCTTGGTGAACATCTTAAAGCGCAACTTTCGTATCTATCACGGTTACCGAGACACTAATGCTCGTACCTCGAATTTGTAGCACCCTGTATACCCGGTATTTACCCAAGTATGTTTATTTTATTAATTTAACGTACTATAACAAATTTTAACAACAATTTGTTCTTACCTTACTTATCTTACCCCACAAAGACTGCACAATAGTCTTAATTGTATCGAAAATACAGCACAGCGCAGACCATAGGCGCAGACAGTTCCATTTAGGTTACGTGAATTTTATAAGGTGGTTTCCAGACGAAATATATTCTCAATAAGTATATACTCTACACCTTTTGAGTACCCAGGTATATACCCATACTTCTTTATTATTCCCATTAAGTATTTACCCACCTCTCATCACTGTTCAAGTATGTTCTCTCAATTCTGATAAAAACAACAATGTAAAGAACGACGGACGATGCTCACCAAACCTGTACTAAAATATGCTTCATAGATTTAAAATATTGTTGCAGCATAGCATAACACATTTTAAAAATATTTTCGTAAATATGCTGTATATTTTTTCTCGAACGAATCGAGGGTTTTGCTATCAGTGCTATTTTCAAACCTGTCGTTTTCTTAAATCAATACTGTTATGAACTATGATCTCCAAATAACAGTTGTAAAATAACAGATCATTAAACAATAGTCTGTTTCTACTTTATGATCGCAACTTTTGAACAGTGGAAACCCAAGTAAATGGTAATGTCTGCGGCGATGAGTAGTAATAGAACACAGAATTGTTTGTATCCATTTAATGTGCTCTTTAAATTAATTAAATTATTTAATCTTTAATTTACTCACTTTTAGAGGTGTGTAGTTCGTGAACGAACTATTTCCAATGAACTATTCCGGCCCCGGAATGAAAGGAACTAGTTCCTGGTTTCTCAAAGAACTAGTTCCTCAGGACCTATTCCGGGATCGAGACTGTGACCGATATATAATAATATGCGACGGCGACAGATCGGCTAGCGCGCGTAGCCCGATGGTAGGCAGGAGTGGGGAGTGCCAGCTATACGTTATCGGATCCGGACTTAAAAGAACTAGAGGAATTAAATAAAAGACTAGTTTACCTAGAATAGATCAGCCAGCGCGATTGATGCTAGGCAGGCGTGGGGAGTGACATAGAGGAACTATTAAAAGACTGTTCACGGGAATCTATTCAGTCGGCAGATCCAAGATATAATACAAGGCGACGATGATGGATTCGGCCTTGTCTATTGCTACAGCCGAGCGGGGTAATTACCACAGAAAATTGTCGTGGATACTCTTTTTGATTTTTAGTTTGTTTTTTAAATATTTTATGGGAATATTTCACTTTAGGTCCCTAAAATTAAGAAATACCTTATAAAACGAAGTAGATATTCTGAATTTTTAAACAAAAACAAAAAGCTTGAAGTGAGGAAAAATGCAATTTTTCGTAAATTTTTTGTAATATTTGCTCCAATTGATTTGTGATATAGTTTTTTAAACTCTGATTTGAGTTTCTTTTTAATTTTTTTATCTGCAATAAAACTTACCTATATGTTTTTAACATACACAATTACACGTCTCGTTATATCTCCGTACATTATAAAAATTATACAGATCATACTGTGAATAGTTCTGACTGACAACGAAACGCATTAGCAAGCAAGGGGGATGTCAATGTTAGTCGGAAACTATTGTGAACTAAAGACCTAGTTCAAGGAACTATTCCTCTGGATGAACTAGAACTAAGGAACTAGTTCTTCCCAAGGAACTATAATTCCCACCTCTACTTACTTTATGTTTTCTCTAATTTCAGTGATAGCTACGATGAAGTACGAGCCAGAGTTTCTCAATTACTGGTTTTGGATAGGTACAATAGGCGCGCTGTGTCTTGGACTTCTATTTTCATTGTTGAGTGCCGTTTTTGCTGTTATTAACACTGCCACAACAACCCACCGATATTTAGCTGGCCTGTCAGGACTAATATTGTGGAACTTTCTTACGTGTAAGTATTACTAAGTTTACAAAATTATTCTAAAAGTTTGTTTACTATTCAAGTGATAGTTAAATTTCCAAATTTACTCTAGTGCTTATCACGTAACGATTATTATCTCGATATTTGGTATCGCGTATGCTTAGGTGTTCTTCATATGAATTATTCATAGAAAAAAAAACGGCGTCTGCGACGGCTGTGAAATAAAGATCGCTGTCATTTTATAATATGTAAATTTATATGAGAAATGTCATCGATCGTCATTTCCCAGACAACTGAACGCCGTTTTTTTTTTCGATCATACGGTACCTAGACATTGGATATAAATATGCTTGATCTGTGGTGGACGCTACATATTTAAAATATTAAAAAAAAAGATATTTATTTCGATTTTTGAGATATATGAAAATTTTATTTTAATCAAGATTTTAATCTCTTTTAAATCGTACTTAACTCGGTATTTAACTTCTATCCACGAATTTTTAGAAAATGTTTTTGCCAACATTTAGAAGACCCCCCCCCAATTCTATTATAAATTCAATAGGTACAGTGTAGTCATTTTATTTTGTCCAATTTTTAAGATGATATAACTTTTTTTATTTTTGGAGATTCCTTGAAAAACAGAAAATTCGTTGAAAAAAAAACAAATTAAAGAGTTTTAGTCGATATTTTTGCGTATTACCAACTGTGTCATACGCCGTCAAATGTCGAAGTTAATAATATAAACTAAATTTTCTTTAAAGGGACGCTCTATATAGGGTGTCCCAGAAATAAGTGCAAGTATTTTAAGGGGTGGTGGATCTCGATAAAAGAAACATATTTTCTCTTTATCGTTTTTCAAATAAATCCAAAATAACGGAGTTATTTTACTTTGAAAATTTCCAAAAAAACATATCTTTTGTTAAAAAAAAAAAAATTTTGAGAACCACTGGATCTTTTCTGGATTTTCTTTCTTGTAAATTTAATCTACTACCTATGTTGCCATATCATCAAGAAATTGTTTTTATTAAATAAAAACTAAAAAAATTTCCCAAAAAATTTTCAAAAACTTTTTTTCGCCAAAAAACCCTCATAGGCGTGTTTCTAGGGTTGAACTATACTACCAGTTAAAATACTTGCACTTATTTCTGGGACACCCTGTATATTAGAAGTGATAGCACATATATAGCAGAAGTGATAGATTTTGTCTAAGTTCGAATTATGAAGAATAGATTGTGATTATCAATTAGATGTATAGATTATCAATATGTATGGAGTAGGATAATAATATTTTTATACTCGAACTTTTATACTTGATGCTTTTTATATTTCTGTTATACAGGGTGAGTCTTAAATAAGTGCAAATATTTTCAGAGCTGGTAGATCTCGATAAAAGAAACATATTTTCTCTTTACCGTTTTTCAAATAAGTCCAAAATAACCGAGATATTTTACTTTGAAAATTTCCAAAAAAATTGATTTTTCGCTTAAATTTTGAATATCACTGGTTTTTTTCTGGTTTACTAAAAGTTTAGGTATGTACTATGTACCTTTATACTACCAATGTTGCCATATTATTACAATGTATATTTTTAATGAACGTCCTATGACCAATAATAAACAAGATATAGCCTGTTTTAACTGACACAAAGTAAAATGCTAACCCTGTACCTGTATTACAGTTACATTTTCTGTTGATTATTCTGATTTATGTTCAGTTTCCACCAAACGAAACCATCTTATTTTTATTTAAAAAAAACAACTTTGATTGCTTTAAGAGATCATTTTCAGCTTTGAGAACTTTTTTTTAAGATTCTATCTATTATTAAGATCTATTTATTAAATCTAAAATTGTTGTTTTAAAATTATTCAACAAACGTTTATCATTATTATTCTCATTAATAAATAACTTAAATAAGTGATCTTTTATAAAAACTAGTTTATTTATGCATAATCAACTTACATTTCTTTATGTTGTGTAAACGTAACAAACAACATTTCAAAATTAATTTCCATTAAGTTTAAGGAACGATATGCTAATTAATATTAATTATTTACACCGTTAAATCGCCGTTTAATAATTACTACTAATACAGTAAAATTCTAGTTAACCACAGTCATGTAAGTTTAGGTATGTTGAAATGCTGTCCTAAAATCTTAACTTAATTTTTAAGCTCAATCCATTTAAGGATTAGGGCCAAGTTTTTAAGTTTTATATTGAGTATAATATAGATATACCGGGTGTTTTTCAAAAGTGGCTCACTCCTATAACTTTTTTCATTTTTTCAGATAAAAAACTAGATTTGGTAAACATACCAAATTAAACAAGTATATGACATAAATCAGGATTAATTGACGTATTCAAATTGTTTCGGTCAGTTCCTGTTTCACCGGAAATGACTAAAACTTTTGATTTTTAAATGGTACCCTCGGTATTTTTTATTTCATTCCATAGTATAGAATGACATATCATATGTCAACTTTTGACATTCTCGCTTAATAAAAAATTGTATTTTAAATTTCAATCTAGAGTACCAAGGCTATGTTAAAAACACTAATTCTTAATCAAGGAACCTTGGAAAAATAGATTTGATCGTCTAATGTTTTAGTGTCTTGTCCTGGTCTGTTAAAAAATGCCCAAATCGTATTTTTAATCATATATCTCAATTTTTTCAAATGGAACGGGTGGCTCATTAGCATATTTGGAAAAAGCATTATTTTGCAAATAATTTGATACCACACACTTGGTATTTCGAGTCAAATTTTCGTTACAAACCGCAAGTTATATATTACAGTTGGAGGTTGGAACCTTTAGTGTTACACAGCAAAATAAAACACTAAATCACCACAATACACCAAAACAAATTTTAACAATCTGCTGATGATGCTAATAGCGAAACGCGCGCCCAGTGTAAAAGTAAGTGTTTTGGTGTATTGTGGTGATTTAGCGTTTTATTTTGCCGCAAGTTATGATTTCAAATAAACCCTATGCGAAAATGTCAAAACTTGACATATAATATGTCATTCTATTCAGAGTGTTATTTTCTATCGAATAAAGTAAAAACATACCGAGGATGTCATTTCAAAATCAAATTTTGTAGTCGTTTCCGGTGAAACACGAAGTGACCGAAAGCAATTAAATACGTCAATCAATTCAAATTTATCTCATACACTAACATACCAAATCTAGTTTTTTTTAACTGAAAAAATAAAAAATATATATATAAATATATATATATATATATATATAAATATATATATAAAAAAATATATATATAAATAATATAATATATAAAAGTTATAGGGGTGAGCCAATTTTGAGACGCACCCGGTATATATCGGTATTTGCTAAAGTCTCTCCAACGAGTCAAGGAAGATTTCGACAGACGCCATCCAAAAAATCAAAATACAAATTCACTTATGAATAAAATAATAGACTTAGACAAGTGTCACTGTCAAGTATTATTTCGTGGTGCTAGACCTTAATGCAGATAAATATACTGATAAAATGTGATTATATTATTTTTAATTTTAGTTTTTACGTCATTATGTGGTATTGGATTATGGATAGCACAATACTACACTACAATTCAATACAACGTTTTAACTAGAGAAGATAGAAATAACGAATGGACCTCAGAAGGAATGGCGGAACTGTCCTTTTCGTTTTGGTATGTCATGTAATATTTAATTTAACAATAGTATTGCTTAACAAATCAACTTCAAACTTCATATTTCCCTGATATTTCCCAAATAACGATTTATTAACATAAAATAGACAACAAATTTCTTGCAGTATAGGTATATAATAAAATTATATAAGGATTCTTGCCACTTAACTGCTTATATAGAAATTATATATTGTATTTGTATATTGGCATATTGTGGATCAGCCTGCTCTCACTACCGGTTTCGGAGCCCTACTACATCATCAGGTGAGCTTGGGCAGATCCACAAAATGACAACCACAGCGCAGAGGTAGTTAATTCCGACTTGTCGAAAAGTGTCGGTTAAATATTAAGTCCCGAACGGGAGATAGCGGCCTGCGTGCAATGGTAGTACTTTCGTACCACCGGGGCGCAACTATCGATAGTAAAAAGATGGTAAAAGGCTTTTTTTCAGGCAAGCCAAATTATAAAATAAAATAAAAAATCTTGTAGTATAAGCTCACCTGATGATGGAGTAGGGCTCCGAAACCGGTAGTGAGAGCAGATTGATCTACATTATGACAAACACAGCGTAGAATTAAATTTCTATATAAGCAGTTAAGTGGCAAGAATCCTTATATAATTTTATTATATACCTATACTGCAAGAAATTTGTTTTCTATTTTATAATTTGGCTTGCCTGAAAAAAAGCCTTTTACCATCCTTTTACTATCGATAGTTGCGCCCCGGTGGTACGAAAGTACTACCATTGCACGCAGGCCGCTATCTCCCGTTCGGGACTAATATCTAACCTACACTTTTCGACAAGTCGGAATTAACTAACTCTGCGCTGTGGTTGTCATTCTGTGGATCTGCCCAAGCTCACCTGATGATGGAGTAGGGCTCCGAAACCGGTAGTGAGAGCAGGTTGATCCACATTATGACAAACACAGCGTAGAATTAAATTTCTATATAAGCAGTTAAGTGGCAAGAATCCTTATATAATTTTATTATATACCTATACTGCAAGAAATTTGTTTTCTACTTTATAATTTGGCTTGCCTGAAAAAAAAGCCTTTTACCATCTTTTTACTATCGATAGTTGCGCCCCAGTGGTACGAAAGTACTACCATTGCACGCAGGCCGCTATCTCCCGTTCGGGACTTAATATCTAACCGACACTTTTCGACAAGTCGGAATTAACTATCTCTGCGCTGTGGTTGTCATTTTGTGGATCTGCCCAAGCTCACCTGATGATGGAGTAGGGCTCCGAAACCGGTAGTGAGAGCAGGTTGATCCACATTATGACAAACACAGCGTAGAATTAAATTTCTATATAAGCAGTTAAGTGGCAAGAATCCTTATATAATTTTATTTATTAACATATAACTAAAGCCTGATTTTCATGCGTCCGTTATCCGTTGATACAATGGTCCGACGGCGCTCTGATTAAGCATAGCGTTTTCGCGCCACTTTTCATCCGTAATTTGTTTACTCCAGCCTGTCAACGAAGGCGGAACGTACGGACGCGGACGTTTTGACACTTTTTTGACAAATTTAATCTAACCTTAATAAAAATATAATAGTACAAGAACTAGCATCATAGGGAAAACGAGAATTTTAAGAAAGCTGGTTCTTTAATATATCTTTTGGTATGCTCTTCTGACCAAAGTGCGGGCCGTCTAGCTGCCAGTAGACTACTGCAGTTCACATCTGTACAGGGTATCCCATTTTCGTGTGTTTTATGGCATTTTTCGTTTTTGAGTATACAATAATGCGATTTTCACATTACTTTGCTACTTTTTTTTAAAACAAAATATGCTACACATAGGTTTGTGCTAGCATCCTTCATTCCTGAAATACAGGGCGAATTTGTGGAGCGCAGTAGTGAACATATGTTGAATACAGGTATGATGCGTAGTAGTGAACGCAACGTCTACCGGCAGCCAGACGGTCCGCACTCTATTCAGGAGAGCATAGCAAAAGATATATTAAAGAACCAGGGCTGGAACTCTGTATCTAAATAGCGATCGGTAGCAATGAAGAATACTGACCTTGGCCGTACAAACTAAACGGCAAGCGACAGTATTCTTCATCTATTTATTATCGTATCATCGTATCGTCGGACAACGGATGCATGAAAATCAAGCTTAAAACGATGGTACTCAAGAATCGTTCATGAAATGCTATTAAGCTTAGAGAAATTAAGCATTAAATTGTGACTGCATATAATCAATTTTTGCAAAATTGAAAATATTTTAGAAAGCGAAATTCTGAAACCTTAATCAAATCTAGTTTTATTTTAATATTAGAACCTATGGAGCGTAGAGATGAGGAGAAATAACTCCTATGGGACTTAATTTGAAAAAGTGGTCACAAAAATGGGAAGAATAAGGGTTCACCAAATAACCACAGTGGCGCTAATGATGCATAAATCTAAAAATGAAAAGTAACCATAGATAAGAGAATAAAAGTAACATAACCAAACATTACCCAAAAAAGCTTTGTTTTTATTTTTTAGAATATAAAATTACTGCTGAATAAAAATCGATAATTTATATCATGTGAGATATATATGTATATAATTTATATCATGTAAGAAAATAAAATTTGTATTTTTTTTATTTCATTTCTTATTCTAAAAATTTTCGGCACATATTTTAAATTTTAGGTGTTTGCTACAGCAGGTTAAGTTTTCCCTTTTTTATGACCCCCATTTTTTAATGCACGAAGATATTTCTCCTACCTCTACACTCGATAGTAAAATCTAAAAATGTAATAATATACAGGGTGTAATCGAAATCATACGGAATCTGCGTTATTAGTGAAGATAGAAGGGTGCGGTTTGCACAAACCTGTCCCAGTTTTTTTGCTAAAGGGAAGATACTGTAAACAAAATTTTCATAGCTCTCTTCGTTTCTAAGCTACAGGGTCTTTTTGAAAATTTTGCAATTTGTATCTCTGTTATTGTGAAAGGTATCGTGAAGGTGAAAACTGTCTGTTGTAGAACTTTTTACGTAGAATACAGTGACATAGTATGTTATTCTACAAAAATAATATTTTTGAAGATATGAACTAAAGTTGTGTTTTCTTAAATGGAACACCCTGTATATTTATAAATCATATGATCTGGCGGTATAAGCTTTTCAAAAATATATATCATTCTATATTTATTTTAACTATTTACTGCAATATTTAAAAGTTTTTTTTAAAAGATCATATTTATTAGTAGGCCATGATTGATAATAAAAGAAATTAAAGAATTATTAAAAGTATACTGCTATCTGTCTCTTATTTTATTTTGGGAGCCACTAATAAATTCTTTATATTATTAGGAAACCTTAACTCTACCGCTATTTATAAATCTCGGAAGCTACCCTACCGGAACTTTTAGATATTCCTTTAGCTAATTTACGTGAAATATACTATCAGCAAGATAGGGCCCCCCTCACAACTTTGAAAATATTAGTATTTTTTTAATGACTGTTCCCAAATCAATGAATTGGAACCAAAGGACCCATACGATAGCCTTCCCGATTCCCGGATTTGTCCGTTCTCGATTTCTGTATTTAGGGATTTTTGAAATATGAAATACAGGGTGGCCCATAGAAAACGTTCCGCAAGGCATAACGGCCAGGGTAATTTTTTTTTCAAAAAATCCAAAAACTCGTCAATTTTGTTTGTGAGGGGGACAACTTTTGCCCCAAAAATGATTGCAAAATCTTCAACCCTCTAAGCGGGGGTGTCATCCCCCAACTTTTTTCAAATGGGAAGGGGGGTCAAGTGGCACCGCAATGAAAAGAGCTTTCTATTCTCTATATTTCCCCGCTTCGTTTTTGAAAATCGGTCGAGTCATTGAGAAAATATGAAGGATTGAAATTTGAAAAGTTTATTTAAACATTTATCAGACTAAATGATAAGAATAAATTCCTTCGACCAATTTGCTGTTTTTTCTTATTATTTCTAGATGTTTACGCATTTTTTCATTTGCCACAAGGTTGAACGATCAGGTGCGGTAGTTGCTAGATAGCTGTTCTGACTTGTGCGTTGAAGTTCTTCTCAATATCGTTAAACTTTTTAACAATTATGGTGTACTCACTTGCAGAAAAAGTGGATATAATCGAACTTTATTTTAAAAGTAATGAATGTGGCAATTGGTTTGCGCAGATATTCAAAATATATATGAAAACGGAAAGATGTAGAAACAAAATATTTTATGGGTATACGTGGGGAGGCAAAGTGCATAATTTAAAATTATTTTGAAATATACAGGGTGTTTCAGAACTAAAATCCATACCAAAGTTATATTTTTTCTTATGGAACACCCAGTATTTTATTTCATTTTTGGATTCTTGAGCCCAAAAAAGGCGTTTATTATAAGGGTTAAATATGTTTAAATTCTTTGATTTTTGAGATATTTAAATTTGCATGCTACAATAGAATAGATTATTAACACGCTGTGCATTACATTTCTGAATTAATTCTTGTGCTAAGTTAAAGGTAGAGAAATAAACTTTACTGCAAAATGTTATTGCTTCCTTAAATTTATACAGGGGTATCAAAAATTGCTGATCTATTTTAAGGATTTATTTTACATAAAAACTTCGTTATTCCAAATACAACACCCTGTATTTTTTTAAATAAATCGAAGCAGATTTAAATGCTCTTTGAAACTATATTAGTGTTTCCTATACCTATCTAGCTCAGATTTTGAATAAAAAACGATTTTTGAATAAAATTGCAATCAAGGTGGCTGGTGTCGCCATGGCAATTTTCTAGTGACAGTTAATAACTATTTTTAAAGTCGACAATAGTTTATGGACTTAATTTAAAATTATTTAAATTTATAGCAGTTTACTTTTATTTAATTTATCTTCAATAGTTTTATTTTAAAATAATAAATAAATATTTATTTATTATTCTACTTGTAGATATATGGATTTTCTTTAAAAGAGCCAATTACGACAAATTCATTTTCTTCACTTCCAATGACAGGTTTCTGCCTAATAAGTTTTTTATAAACCACATTACCAGCCCAACGATATAGAACAAGTAGTTTTTCAAAAGAACGCTTATCAGAAAGACTCCTATTTGGATATCTTTGGGCATAAGCCCTCAAAAAAAGCAATTTTCCTCACAAAATAAAATCACTAGTAACATATCCATTCGTTCCGCCAGCAGATACTGCTTTATTTTTCTTGATAAAATAGTGAATACTTACTTATATTAAACTATTGTAGGTAAATTTAAGTAAACTGTTATAAATTATTAATAATGTCCATATTGTTAAAAATGTCCATAAACTAATGTCGACTTTAAAAATAGTTACTAACTCTCACTAGAAAATTGTCATGGCGACACCAGCCACCTTGATTGCAATTTTATTTAAAAATCGCTTTTTACTCAAAATCTCAGCTAGATAGGTATAGGAAACCCTAATACAGTTTGAAAGAGCATTGGAATCTGCTTCGATTTATTTAAAAAAATATAGGGTGTTGTATTTGAAATACCGAAGTTTTTATCTAAAATATATCCTTAAAATAGATCAGCAATTTATGATATCCCTGTATAAATTTAAGGAAGCAATACCATTTTTCAGTAAAGTTTATTTCTCTACCTTTAAACATAGCACAAGAATTAATTCTGAAATGTAATGTACAGGGTGTTAATAATCTATTCTATTGTTGCATGCATATTTAAATATCTTTAAATATCTCAAAACCCAAAGATTTTAAATATATTTAACCCTTATAATAAATGCCTTTTATGGGCTCAAGAATCCAAAAATGAAATAAAATACTGGGTGTTCCATAAGAAAAAATATAACTTTGGTATGAATCTTAGTTCTGAAACACCCTGTATATTTCAAAATAATTTTAAATTATGCACATTGCCTCCCCACATATACCCATAAAATATTTTGTTTCTACATCTTTCCGTTTTCGTATAATCAACCGAGGCGAATGAGGTGCGCCACCCTGTATATGTTTGAGCAGCTCATAGCAAGACGGATCATATAATTTATAAATATACAGGGGGTTCCATTTGAAAAAACATAACATTAGTCTATATTTTCATAAATATTTTTTTCGTAGAAAAACAGACTATGCCACAGTATTCTACGTAAAAAGTTCTACAAGAATCATTTTTCACCTTATCGATATCATCCACAAGTAGAACTTCTCTTGACTGATGATTATTTTTGTTTACTTTAGGTTTGTAGTTGGTGCAGCGTGCGCAGCATTTGTAAATATAATCATAATTGTGATATCTACCAGTGAAAAAGAAACTGAAACAATAATACCCGTCCTCGAAGAAAAGACTAATGGAGCCATCATGCTATATTAGAACAAATTAGATAAATTATTTATTAATATTATATACGCTTAAAGCCATTTTAGTTTATACATAATATAGTATGTAAATTTATTTTTGTATTAAGTATAGGTTAAAAAATAACGTAATTTTTTAAATCTTTAATGTCTCTATTCTATCGAAGTAGCTTGTAAGTTTGCGTTAGATTGAGGTAAAGTATTTAAGCATAAATTTTAGCGTGTACGAAATTCGCAAATTTTCAACGTATATTTCAATATGGCGGCATGGGATTCGTAAAAGTCTTAACGATCCGAATTTCCGTCTTTCTATTATTTTTTTCTGACAGTTACCCTACATTCATAAAATCACAGATAAAATTAACCAAGAAATGTGTACAAAATATTTGAATACCCCCATGGAAACGCTAAATTTGAACTGTTTAATAACTACTGCGTCGTTTTTTGCGCAGTTCCTGTATATATATAATATATGAAGACTTAGATATGATTTTACTTCAATTGTCATTTTTAATGTGACAAATTATTTTGTAATATCAAAAGCTGTACAATCGAAAAAAAAACGGCATGAGAGTTGGCGAAATCACGATCACTGTCATTAAAGCTCACTTTTAATGCATCCGTTTTCTGCAAAAAACAATATGGAGGCATAAAAATCGTAAAAAGTTAAAAAATATTAAGGGTTATCCGAATTTCGGACGGTATTGGTTTTACAGCTATACAGATAATATTAGCTAAGAAATTCGTACAATATTTCATTGTATAAAATGGTTAAATAAAAACGTCTTCATTTTTTTTCATGGCAAACATGTATGATATGATAGAAAAAAACTAGGCTATACCGGGTGCGTCTCAAAAGTGGCTCATCCCCTATAACTTTTTTATTTTTTCAAATAAACGAGATTTAGTACGCTGGTATATGACATAAATTAGGATTTATTGACGGTATTCAATTGTTTATGGTCACTTCCTGTTTCACCGGAAATGACTACATCTTTTGATTTTTAAATGGCATCCTCGGTATATTTTTACTTTATTCGATAGCACCCTGGTATTTTGTTACTTTGTTCGATAGAAAATGACACTCTGAATAGAATGACATGATATATGTCAACTTTTGACATCTTCGCATATGGTTTATTTGAAATTGTAACATGCGGTTCATAACGACAATTTGACTCGAAATACCAAGTGTGTGGTACCAAATTATTCGTACAAAAACTTTTTTCAAATATGCTAATGAGCCACCCTCGTTCCATTTGAAAAAATTGAGATATCATTAAAAACACGATTTGGGCATCTTTTCAATGGCTAGGACAAGATACGAAAAACGTTACCCGATCAAATCTATTTTTCCAAAGCTCCTTGATTAAAAATTAGTATTTTTAACACAGCCATGGCATTCTAGGCTGAAATTTAAAATACATTTCCGGTGAAACAGGAAGTGGCCAAAAACAATTGAATATGTCAATAACACATCAAATCTCGTTTTTTTATCTGAAAAAATAAAAAAGTTATAGGGATGAGTCACTTTTGAGACGCACCCGGTATATGTAAAATTATATAGTAAATGCCATCCATCGTTATTTCCAAACCAACTTGACACGCTTTTTTCCAATCAATCACTATTAACATTAGTGATAGGAATATTCATTAAACGCTCACACAGTATTATTCATAGATAATCTTATTTATTTTTCATTATGGACTGCAATGGCTTATGTAAAACATATTTTGATTTCTTCAAAATGTATGCTATAAGTAAAGGTGTGTATTCCTAGTGGCGTCTGGCGTCCGCGTCTCGCCGCACACTGGTTCGTTTTCTGTTCTGTTCGTTTATTTTATTATATGAGTGAAAAGTAATGTATCACTTTATTGGGGAGCGAACCAGTGTGCGGTGGGACGCGGACGCCAGACGTCATTAGGAAATCACACCTGTTACACGCCACTGTACTTATAAAAATAAATATGTTTATTTTTATACCAAGCATTTTATATAATTATATGAATAAAAATATGTATAAAAATATGCTTACACATTGTAGCGGACTAATGTCTTGATTTTATAAGGATTTTTCGTAGAACTTTAACTGAAAAAGTAATTGTATTAATTTATTCAATTGTATATATTCACTGCTTTAATTATTTATAATAAATACTAAGTACTTTTAACAACGTTCCTTTTATTTTTTCCTTACTATGTATCCTAGTCATCAATTATTTACAGTTGATATTATAAATTATAAGCATAATTTTATTGTATACGCGAATTAAACGAAAAATAATATAATTCTATAATCCCTAAACTAACGTTGATATTTGGAATCGAAATAACCAATACATGTCATCACTGGCAAAAATTAAACCTGTTGGATAGTTATTAGACGTATTGTTCGTAGCAATTTTTACCAAGAAGTATTTTTTGCATAAAAAATGGAAGACGGAAATGTATATTCTTTCACTCAGTAGTTCTGTACAAAGGTACGGACGAAAAGTTATTACAATTCAAAACAGCTAAAAAATATGTAGGTGGTGCCCCCTACAAGTAGAAGTCATATTGACATCAAAATCAAATCTCATGTCAAAAACTTTCGAACATCATTTTCTACCAAATATCAACTATATTTCAGAAATTATTTAGAAAAAAAAACGAAATAAAGATGAAACTTCTACGCCCTGTATCTCCGAAATAAAGCATTTTAGTTAATATTATGCTGCCTAAGTTTACCAAATACAATTCTACAACTACAAAATTATTAATTATACAGGGTTATCCCTATATAATTAATCATTTTAAAGTAGAGTAAAACATTTATCTTAAATTTAAGCCATCAAACAAAAATAAAATGCAACCTTTGATCAAAATTATTCTTATTTATTTACATATCATTAACGTTTAACATGTTTTTAACTTCACTTTGTTGTTTTACATATTTTAACAATCTGAAAACTGAAGAAGGAGTTATGCCCGGTATTCTACTGGCAGCGGCAATCTAAGAAAAATATCGAATAAAAAATACAAGAACAAAATTATGCTTGAATGATACTTACAGTTTGAGGCTGCACTATTGACAATTTCTCCCTCTCTTCGAAACTCAAACTTAATTGTGAAGAGTTATAGTTGAGATCTTTGGGTAAGACCAGAGATTCATTTTGTCTCATCTAAAAATACAGTTTTAACAATGAAATATATCGCATGAAAAAAAGGGTCAAGTAACCTTAGAAATGGCAATTGATAATTATTTTGTGTGAAAAATACACGATGTATGTCATTGATTAGTATTTTTAAGATATCGACGACGTTTTTTGAATCATGTGAAGAACTTCTTAACTCACTGACGTAGATAAATATATTTAACCAATTTTAATTATTATTATTAACATTTCAATGTAAAACAAAATCAGTAAACTACTGAATGTACCCTATTTTAGAATTTAACATAAAAAACTTAAAACATTGATCCCAACAGCATGACATGACATTGATTTACAATATTTTTTGTTCAGCAATAATGGTTCAACTATTTTAAAATACGTACCTCTTTGATTTCTTGGAACTGTTCTTCAGCTGCATGCTCATAGAGATTTTCAATATGCAACCGATTTACTAAAACAGGATCGCGTTTTAGTTCGAGTAATGAAGGTTCAGCTTCAGCTAACATATCAATCGATATTTTTCCATTATTAACATCTATCATGTCCCAGGCACTACAACAAAAAAATAAATTAAAAATATGAACACAAAATCCAAGATAAATTCAAATAACCTTCTCTGTAAATGGCTTTTACTATCAGATACTCCAAGAGTTTGCCGCCATTGTTTTACCGTTTTATTTATACTTTTTAAAAGCTTCGTTCCATGAATCATTTTTTCTTCTAAATTTTTCATTCTTGTATACCTTTCTTTCGAAACGCAACCTACAGCGAAACCCTTGGGCGTTAGTCTTTGGTCTGCATTATCAGGCCTTAAGGTTATCCTAGAAAAGAAGATTTAATTACCCATCTGGAATTCCTTATTCATAATTTTGGAGAAAATAAATATTTAGATTAAATTGTGAATTAAAGACTGGACAACAACTGATTATTAACAATGAGAGTACATGACAGATGTTGATGTCCTTTTAGTTCAAAAGTGATTTGTGTTTTCTGTCATCGTTAGATTATCGTTTAATAAAATACTCCCTCCTCGCGTTTAACAGACATTAGCATATCGGTAGTATGTGTCTCATTATTTAAATACAATCAAATAAACTTCATAAGTCTAATTAATATCCATATAATGGATATGTCTTATAGCTGTGTAGGAAATCCGATAACTACGTTAGCTTTTTTTGTTTCTGTAATCAGTATCTAGTTTGAGGTGATCTTTTTAGTCTAATGGCACTTTGACAGCACATCTTATATCATAAAGTGTTTAATATTATAAGATAATTTTTCATTCTCATAATTTTTATGTATATGATTCACTTGTTATAATGAAAATATTCGCTTTAAAACATGTACCTAATATTATATCATATTTTATCATCGTTCTAGAAGCAAATCTTGCGTTATTGTATCTCTAAAGGTTATGTATTGCGTTCATACCTTTGAATAAAAAGATTAAGGAAGGAGCATAATGCTATCCATGTATTCATGCATGGTGGGCGGAAAAAGGACTCTAGGGTGGGGATTCTTGGCAGTTCTGTTTGACGATTCATTTTACACATTTGATTTGAAATTTTGTGGATTTGTCAGCGTGATTTGCTGATTTGTCCAAACCAAACCAAACGAAAAAAAACCGGCATCAACGGCTGTTATCATTTCCCAGATTTTTTTTACAAATTATAAACTGAACTCCAACTTTATACAACAAACCGACTTTAGAGTTTATTCTAACCGGATTAGTATGAACCTTTGAATAAAAATACTTAAGGAAGGAGTATATCAAAAATCTTAGATCCATAGCGATGGGACTCAAATATGGCCGACTTAAATTCCAGTTTATCAGTGCCGTTCTAATTTTATTTAAAAAGTGTAAAAACTATGATGTAGGGTAGACGTGGGGTAGACTCAATAATTTCTTGTTTTATTTTACGTTGTGAATAAATGTTGGTAGTTATTAAAATTGTTATAAAATTAATAAAAATATATAATTTTAATAAAAATAGATAAGTTATAATAATTATTTATTAACACAAACATCCGATACGCTACTGAAACAGGTAAGTCAAATTGACGTATCTAAATTCCTTGACATCTAATCTCTGACAAGTAGTAAATAAAAGCAAAAATGCAAGAAAAAATATATAATTAGGCAATTTAAGTGAATTTCATAAATTATCGGTTTACTACACGTATGTATATTATATAGTCACTTACTAGCGAAAAGTTCCATTATTTCACTCGATTTTTGACCGAGATCTACCGCACGCTACACAATTATTTTACAGTCTTTTTCGATAAATCGCAATAGTGTCACTGTTAATTTAAGTTCTGCCACAATTTCCTTCTAGATTTACTACCTTTATACAACTAGCAGTAGTAGAATAAACAATAAATAACATAAAATAAGCTCCTTAAAGACTGACAAATCCACAAAATTTTAAAACAAATTCAAATGTGTCAAATGAATCGTCAAACAGAACTGCCAAGAATCCCCACCCTAGAGTCCTTTTCCGCCCACCATGCATGAATACATGGATAGCATTATGCACCTTCCTTAATCTTTTTATTCAAAGGTATGAACGCAATACATAACCTTTAGAGATACAAACCCACTCTCATTTTTTTTATTACTTTGGTCATATGTCATATAGAAATCTCCTGAAATATACTATATCGACTTTTTTTCTTTTTTTTTCCACAGCTATTATAATATGTCTGGTTGACAAGTGATCTCGGGAAACTAGTTTCCAAGAGGTTCACTGTGCGGGCTAACATTGTAAAACTTTACGGACTATTCAGCAAGTTCCCAATATTGCAGACTTCTGACATTCAAGTAGATAGGGTGGGTTGTTGAGATTGAGAATTTTGAGATTTTTAGAAAAGCTCTTATGGAATAAACCGTTAGCTGAAATAATGAATGGAATTATATGTACTTTATTTAGGTTATAAACTAGTTTCAATTGGTAATTCAATTCACTGTACTTAGCAATCTTCAAGTGGCACACCAATATCTATAATCCATCCATGCTTATTCTTTCTGTCAATAACCACTATATCCGGTCTATTGTGGGGCACCGCAGTGACAGTTATAATCGGAGTATCCCAGTATATGACAGTATCACCATTCTCCGCCTTCCATGCAGGTATGTATTTGTGAGTGGGTTTGAGATCTTTTACCAACTGAAAGTTTTTACACAATCCCTGATGAATCACCTTACACACCATATTATGTCTAGCCAAGTACTCTCCGGGGGCCAGCAGGGAGCACCCCCTATAATGTGCTGTATGGACTCAACTTCTTTCCCGCACATTCTACATTTATCTGATTCAATATTAGTGCCTTGAATATTTTTAATGTATGCTCTGGTAGGGGGGACGACTTGGTCTTGTATAGCGTGAAGAAATCCTTCCATCTCAGGAAAGAGATAACCTGATTTTAGGTAAGTGCAGAAAGCTGGAGCGTCAATATTTTCATTATGAAGGTTATGATAAATTCTACCGTGAAGAGGTTTTCCCTTCCATTCGTTGGTTCTTAACGTGGTTGTAGGAGTATCTTCCCGTTGTTTAAAAATGGTGTGATTTTGTCCTATAGCAACAATTGCTTTATGTATGGGCTGTTGAGATTGATCAAAATATTCTCTCAGTTTTTGTTCTTCATTTGCTGCCATAGTTTCAACACTTAGCAGTCCTCTGCCTCCTGATTTTCTTGGCAGGTATAATCGACATTTTGATGACTTCGGGTGGTGCATACGATATTTTGTTAACCATTTTCTTATGTCGGTATCCAGTTGTTGAAGAGATGTTTTTGGCCAGTTGATCACTCCTAGAGTGTACTTACAAGAGGGAGAGCCCACGAATTTAAAGCTTGTATTTTATTTTTGGAATTAAGCTGAGTTCCCAGGACTTTTCGGATTCTATGAGTCAGAGCACTGCATATCGTATTTCTAATGCCAATTGAATGTGTTTCGTGTGACTGAGATAGACCTAAATATCTGTAATGTTCGCCGTTTGCCAGTGAAGCAATACTTGAGCCATTTAGTAGATGCATTGCGTCGCTTTCTTTCATTTTTCCCCGTTGGATATATATGCACGAGCATTTATCAACACCAAATTGCATTTTAATATATTTTGAGAACTCAGCTACAGTCTCCACCAAAGACGTTAATTGTCTCTCACCTGCTGCATACAATTTCAGGTCATCAACGTAAAAGATATGGGTCAACTTAAGATGTGGAGATTTTGTGAGCATGTATCCGTAACTAGTTTTATTTAAGATACTACTTAGGGGGTTAAGGGATAAACAAAACCATAACGGGACAAACTGTCTCCCTGAAAAATACCGCGATTAATACGGATGTTTCGGGTATTGTATTGTATATTTGTGTCACTTTTTATTGATATTTGTGTTCTCCATTGAGACATTAGGTGGCCGAGGAGTTGGATAATTCTAGGGTCTACTTTGTAAATTTTCAATATACTTAGAAGCCATGAGTGTGGAACTGAATCGAAGGCTTTTCTGTAATCGATCCATGCCATCGATAAATTTCGATTTTTCCTCTTTGTAGTATCAGTAATTACTAAATCGATCACAAGGGCACGTCCCCTGTCACGTCCCCTGTCTTTGCATCCATTTTGCTCCACGGCTAATATATTTTGCGATTTTAAATACCTAGATATCTCCCGAGATATAATACTGGTCAATGCTTTATATATAACAGGTAAACATGTAATTGGTCGGAAGTCTCTTGGAGTTAAATTTCCTTCTTAAAAAGGTCATCAAATATCTGCGCAACCTTCGAGTGGGTCGATGTAAATTGTTTCCACCAGAATGCGTGAATATGATCTTTTCCAGGTGCCTTCCAATCAGCCATTGCATTAAGGGCATTCATGACTACATACGGTATTATGCCAATTTTCGGCATATCTAATATTTGTTTCCCTTGCATTTCTTTTTCGATCTCGAATCCATTTGGCGTTGTAATTATGCTCTGTAGGTTTTTCCCACAGGTTGGCCCAGTATATTGTCATATCGTCCTTTGAGGGTACGGATTTTGATGTTAAGTTTGGATTTAACGTACGATAAAACTTTTGTTGGTTTTCATTAAAGAGTTTATTTTGTTGATACCTTTGAGTCCTTGTTTTGTACTTTTTTAATTTTGCTGCCAGGCATTTTAGTTTTTGTTTGTAAGTGTCGAGTATTTTTTCCACTTCTTCTATACGTGGATTTTTATTTTTTATTACTTTGGTCATGTCATATAGAAATCTCCTGAAATATACTATATCGACTTTATATTATTATATTACTATTTAAAATGCAATCTAATATTTTTGGATTTCGGTGGATTTCTGTGGATTTCTTTAGATTTCTTTGGATTTCTGTGTATTTCTGTGGATTTCTGTGTATTTCTGTGGATTTCCTTGGATTTCTTTAGATTTCTTTGGATTTCTGTGTATTTCTGTGGATTTCTATGGATTTCTTTAGATTTCTTTGGATTTCTGTGGATTTCCTTGGATTTATTTATCAAAAGTGGATTTCTGGTGTACACATTTTGTTCAGGTGTTTACGCCTCGCACGGCGGAGTTTCTGCCAGTAGAGGGATAGATGGCGCTGCGTAGAAATTTCATCTAAAGTCATCTAGGGACTTTAATTTCATCATGATTTTATCAAGTCATCCACAAAGTATGGTTTAATTAACAATTCGTTTGATTCTCTGTGGAGTAATTGGAGTGGTTGAAAAGTATAAATCTATACTAATACAGGGTGGCGCCTCTCATACGCCGCGGAGGCTCCAAGGAGAACGACAGTTTGTATTGAAATGAAATTTTGTGAGCATATGTAGGTTAATTCAGAGCACTTTTTAAAAATATAGAGAGTTCTACGATTTGTTATAATTTTCTTTCAAGTACTTTTATCGTTTCGAATGAAATTTTGAGGGTAAGAATTACTATAAATGCGATATATTTTAAAGTTAAAAAAGTGTCGACAGATTCACCAGGGATGTGCATATGGGTTATCACTGGAATATTTTTACCAAAATAAAACATGAGCGCCACGGACTTTTTTATCTTGTTAGCGAAATAAGGTAAGCAGTTTAATTCCGATTAAAAGATGTCTCTAGATATTTTGGCGATTTCGGCGTTCTTGATGAGATAAACGCAATTTTATTAATTTGCCTTGATCCAAGTCTAATAGCAACCTTTTAGTCTAATAGATCCAAGTCTAATAGCAAGTTTTAGAGTTGCAGGATGTTAAAACTTTTTTAAAATTAGGTTTTTTGTAATTATCTTAAATACCTTTATTTTTTTATTTCAAATTCCTGTAGGTTGGGCTAATAGTAATAATAACTAATAGTTATAATATTTAATAATAAATTAGTTAAAATATATAATTCATTATTATTTTTATTTTATTTTATTAATTGTATTTAATAAAATTTATGTTTTATTTTTGAAAAATATTCCAGTGATAACCCATATGCACGTCCCTGGTGAATCTGTCGACACGTTTTTAACTTTAAAATATGTCGCATTTATAGTAACTCTTACTATCAAAATTTCATTCGAAACGATAAAAGTACTTGGAAGAAAATTATAATAAATCAAAAGATTATTAAGACTTTAATACCCTGTAGCTACGAAACAAAGCAGAATCGAACCTATGTTGATATGAAAAATAAATCTTATTTTTACGTGAGGAATCTCCCCATGAGAATGGGCACATGTTTTTTGAAACACCCTGTATAAAAATGGTGTATCTATGTAAAATTATAAAATAACTCGCAAATAGTTGTCAATTATTGTCTTAAATGTCAAATATGATGATACACAAGACACATAATATTATTCTCATTTTTAACACAATTCAAATCGTAAACTAACGACGAAGTCAAATTTTGTAAAAAAAATGATAAAAAAAATCCCATATGATGCGAACTTTCTCTCTGGAAACTTAGGCTGTCCAGAAAAAAATATCCAAAAATACTATTATTTTCAATACGTATTAATTCACCAATTTACCTAAACTCTGCTCTACTTGTAAACATCCTGTATGGCTCTGTGGTCCCTAACGTAGTCAAATCATCAACCATAACGCCTATATAGCATTCAGTTCTACTCAATATAAGTGGTGCAGAATGCAAGACCTAGAGAGCAAATTAATGTTATTGAATAAAGTTGTAAAAAAGACTGACCATTATTTAATACCTTAGCACCGGCATTAATCCCCGCTAAAATACCTTGAGCTGCCGCCTCTTCATATCCAGTTGTGCCATTAATTTGTCCAGCTAAAAATAAACCTTCAACCTTTTTAACTTCTAATGTATTACGCAATTCTCTTGGATCGACATAATCATACTCAACGCCATAGCCTGCTCTTAATAATGTCGCATTCTCTAATGCAGGTATGGAATGAATTAACTGCTCTTGCAAATCTTCTGGCAATGTACACGATAAACCTAAAACATTAAAATATCCCAAAAAATTATATTACTAATTAAACACAGACAAATCTTAAATATGAGACATCAAACAGAGGAAATTTTTATTGCATGTTATATTATCTGAAAATAAATAATTTTTTGTCTTTTTCATATATTTTTTGCGTCAGTTTATAAATTATAGTCCAGAGTTCTTTGTCAAGCTAAAATTATTGTGTCTATCTGAAATTTATATTTTTTTAAATACAGGGTTCGGCAATAGTGCGTCGGGCATCTGTAGTAGAGGTGGGCAAGGACTGAACGAGTCGTTCATTTGAACGAATATTAAAAATGAATCGTGTGATTCGATTCACTGTTTAGAATACGGTTTGTTCAATTGAATCGTAGTCAGCACGGATCCAAGAGTCGTGAGAGTTGATTCATTGCTTGCAATACGGTTCGTTCAATTGAATCGTGGCCACAACGGATCTATAAGATTTGAACGATGAGCCGTAAAAATGAATCGTAAGAATTGAATCGGATCACAATGCGATCGTTCGTTTCTACGGCGCGGCGGTGTTATAGGCATAGAGTCGAGCACCAATATTTAGATTTGAACAAAATATGGTATATTATGAACAAAATAAAAAAAATATTAAATTGGTATTAAGAAGTCTTTAATAAATAGTATATATGAATTGGATTGTTAATTTAATATTATTGATAAAATAATCAATCCAGTTACGCAAGTGTCATAAAGTGTTGAAAAACAAATTAAAGAACTGTATATTTCTTTTTCTGGTCCCTTAAGTAATTGTCCGGCCAAATTAACGCCGGTAGTGCCAGTTATATGATTCTTGTTTTTATGAAACGTAAATTGTGCATGCGATTCGTTCAAAGGAACGAATCGTAGGAGTTGATTCAATATGAGAAATTGAATCGTGTGATTCGACTCAGAATTTTGGTTTAAGTCCAAACCTAAAGTATGTACTAAGATGTATATCAGGAAAATATTTTAACTTCTATAGAGTGGCTCAAAAAAGTTTGAGTGGATTGGGATGATTTTTTTAAATGGAACACCCTGTATATTAATGCCTTTTTGGCTTCCTTTCAGAACACTTTACATAATTCTAAAATATGAGTAAACATATTTCGATATTAATAAAGAGATATTAATAAATAAATAAAGTTTATATTTTTCCGCCTTTCTTAAAAACATTATTTAAAATACAAGAACTGTCTTGAAATCAAAACTATGTTAGGTATTTACTTTACATGGCCTATACTTACCTTGCCTTTAAATCATACAAGGTGTTCAAAATTCTACGCCAAACTTTCTAAAATATAAAATTCCCACATAGCAATGAAAAGCATATTCATATCTATAGCATATACCTAGCATGTGCGTGAATTTATATCATTATACTTATATTCTGAGCATGTTCCAGGAATAAATGGACATGTGCCACCTATATTCTTTAAAGTATATTCTTGTGCATATATTCTTACCACATGCTAAGAATATTTAGCTATATACTTCAATATACTTTGCTGGATATATACAACAGCTCGGTCCTCCTGCTCAAAACATATTTTGGCAAAACATGTTTACGTTTTTTGCTTATATGAAATAGAATTTTGTTTTTATGAAATAAAGTACTTTTCATAGGTAATAATCTTGTTTAGTAAGTTAGATAAAATAATTCTGGCAACGCTAACTACCGACTCGCCGCCATGATACAAAGAAAAACCGCGTCCCGTCGAACCAGCCGAAGAGCCGAACTTAATTGCATTTTGTTGCTTATAGATTTACGATTCGGATTGATCTCGGGATTGATTTTTGTATTAAAATGTGTTCCTGTTGCGTGGTTTGTGTTTAATGTTATATCGATAATAGTGTTCTGTGTGTACTCAACATTTAAAAGTTAAGGGAAAACAGGAGTGTTGTTTGTACTGTTTGTAGTCTTGCTTGCGTAAGTGTTTTGAATTTCGAACAGCTTTAAAGTAGTCTTTGGTTCTTTTGTAATTTTTGTAAATATTCATCAATGATTTGTAAGTATTAGGTGTTAAAGTTTGTTAGCTTCATTTTATTATTCATATACTTAGTTAGGTTAAGAGACGGTATAGATATACTTTTTTAGGTTGTGAATCAGGAGGAGCAGAATATATAAACATTATAATATTTAAATGCTGTTTATTTTTTCAAATAAATGTTTTTGTAAGTATATGATTTCCTATTATTTAAAATTTCCATTGGATAACCTAGAAAAATGTAGTATATTTCGTTCAGTACAGGTAGACAGTTTCTTTACGCATGTATTTGGATATTTTAGAGAAAGATGTCATGTTGTGACGTAACTGTCTACCTGTGCTGAACGAAATTTACCTCCTAATTTTTTAGAGTATGTTCACAAAATATGCTATATGTATAAAAACAAGAATATTTTCAGCATATTTTAAAATATTCTTAGAACATTCTTAAGCCAAGTGCATAGCACATCCCAGAATATATAAGTGTAATTCTTAGCACATGCTCAGAACATATTTCCAATATCCTTATACCAAAAAAGTTTTATTCTGAGCACCTGCTAGGTATATTATTTTGCTATGTGGGTTATAATAATAATATACAGCGTGTTCCATTTAAAAAAAATCATCCCGATCTACTCACACATTTTTGAGCCACCCTACAGAAGTTAAATAATTTTCCTGAAATACATCCTCGTATATACTTTAGGTTTGCACTTAACTGAAATTCCCAAGCTTTTTGTTCTAGGAGCTTCAGATGCCCGACGCACTATTGCCGGACCCTGTATATTGGGTTCTAAGAAGGCATATAAATATTGCTATTGTAATTAATGATTTTGTTTTAATTATTTTGGTATAGCGTATTTTGCTCAATCTCATATAAAAAAGTAACGGGGGAAGGTTTAACTTGCTTTTATTAAAATAACAATATAATTCTGGTTTGTGTTAACGGAATTAAACAAACTGCGGCTCATTTAAAAGAGCATTTCTTCCTTAATAGTCAGCAGTATCAAATTTGACTCCAAACATTTTGCCATGGTAGCTAGAGGACGCTGTTTGGTACCATAACATATATTGCGCGTTTGCATAAAAAAAATAAATGGCAGGCTATGTTTCTTTTTGCATCGTTAAATAGAGCTCAAAATCTTCAAAAAGATAGCGCAAACCCCACCCTTCTATCTTCTCTCTAATGGGAGATATTAGGAGAATTAATTAATTAACATCAGACCTTCAAAAACAGCTGTTCATTTGACTTTATATATAAAATAAAAATGAGTTGTGTGACATGTGCCTCCACTGTATGAAAATGAACTCTATGAAGAATTAGTTATGTTAAGCTGTCGCCTGTTTGCCTATAATAGCCTAAAATTATACGAGATGTATTCAGTTGTAATTTGTAGTTCTCGAAACTTTCGTAAACCGATTCTAGAATGTTGTTAGAAGTAGATTAATTATCACTTCTAACAACATTCTAAAAAACAAACCCGAGGGGTAAACCGCGAGACCAATGTGGTGTACAACCCCAAACCAATGCGGACCAATTGTGTGGACTAATGGTGCCGATTAAGTGACAATGCTAACAATGGGGGAAATTGACCAATTTTGCAGAGCCAATGGAACCAATTAAGGGGAAATTGACAAATTTTGCTAAGCCAATGAAGCCAATTAAGGGGAAATTAGGGACCAATTATGAACCAATTAAAGGCTAATGTAAAATTATGTTAGTAAAAACTACGCGCTATCGAGTCCGCAAATCTAGCCGAGTCGACGACAGGGTTGCCAGATTGAACCCTTAAACGCCATTTAGGATATTTTTAATGATTAGTTGACGTTAGCGCAAGAGAAATAATTATTTATTGAAGTTATTTACAGTGGCGTGAATATCAAATAATGGTTTCCGTTAAATACCTTAAACTGGTAAGGTCCGTTTGACACGAGCAAAAATTATGGCAAAAATCATTAGGTAATTATTTCAAAAATCTGGTCAATAAAATGTTTTGAGGTTGTTTTACTGAGTCTTAGTTGAGTTTTATATTTCAATTACAAAAATCCTGGAGAATATTTTGAAACCGCAGCAAAGGACCTGCCTCAAAAACCTCAAAAAAATCATATTTTATTAACAAAATATTCAAATTAATTTTGAAATACTTGTTGTTATTATTTTTGCCATAATTTCGCTCCTGTAAAATAGCTGTAAGCTTAAAAAGAATTTGATGCTTTGGCAATTCACGTCGAGAGAGAGAGGATTTTGGTCTTGGTGTCAAAGGTTGGATAAAATCTGGCAACCGTATTTCTGTCTGGACCCAGTCTCGACCCGACGCGACACGTATTTTCACTGTTTTCTTCTATCCGTTTTGTTTTGGTTTTCCTCTAGGTACAAAATAGTATGGTATGATGCAAGAACGGTAAACTAATAGGATTGCTCATCCTCATAAGACGTACGTTCGCCTCTTCCCGCGCTTAAGCTGACAGTTGTGACGTCATTGTAGCCCTTGTCAAAGCCTTCGTGACCTTGTCATGATAGTGTGTATTATTAGTTGCCTATGGTAAACTTATAAAAATAACAGCTGAGAAATTATGAGTTAATTATTTTGTCAATTTTAAATGTGAAAAAGGTGTCTTTAAAGTTTTTAGAGCTATAGAGTGTATAAATACGTTCATTTTGTGTTGTGGATTGTGACAAAGTGCATACTAAGTGCCCACGATTTTGTTTATTAACTGTGTTTATTAATTATTTTAAAGCAAAATATGGAAGTACTCTAAAAAGAATGCTTGCAAAAGGTAATGCTGGGACCTGCTGTTCTTAAAAATGCATTATCCGAGTATTTAATACGATTTATACAGTTAATTTTCTTTACTGCATACATATAACGTGTTTAAATAAATAAACTAAATAATGAACGTTTTGCATTCGGTAACCAATAATGCACGTGTGTATTATTGGTTGCCGGATAAGGACCTACTAACTATGACAAGGGCTACAATGACGTCACAAAGCGAGTAGTTTTCGCATGCACCTGGCGGACACTTTTGGCTGAATGAGCAGTCCTATTAGGTTATCTGTTCTTGGGTATGATGTGTAAGACGTGTATTAGACATTATTAAGCTACATAGTAATACGGTAAGAACTCTTGTAGGTATTATTAAGTACAAAATTTAATATCGATACCTACGGTCTAAAATAATAGGTGACTTATGCCCAAGCTTATGCAAAGGGTTTGCCAATAAGTGCTCAAAATTTAACTTGTAGTGCATATGTTAGAAGATGCAGGACAGAAATGAAAATATCAGGACTCTCGTATTTATCTATAATACCTAATAGTAATAATAATAATATTCTATATAAAATTATTTTTGAATCAATCTTTTTTGACAATTCGTTGACATTTACCCAGAGATATGAAATGGGGAGAGAATGTGCTAGACTGCACGAATTGTCCATAGATATGAGCGGGGGAGGGGAATGCGCAATGAGGAAATGGGGAAAATTCTGAAAGACCAATGTGCCAATTAAGAGCCAATGTCCAATGTAGTGTACACAATTTTGGGTCGCGGTTTACCCCTCGTACAAACCCTAAGAAACTATGTAAACATATAAATGGTAGATAAATTTTGTGATTAGCACTCTCAGAAACTCAGAACAAAACATATGGGTGTTTTTCAAAAGTGGCTCACCACTATAACTTTTTTATTTTTTTCAGACAAATAACGAGATTTGGTATGTTAGTATATCGTCAGTGAAACGTGATAACCTGCTAACTCCATTTTTGATTTTAAGTAAGTAATACGTTTAATACATAATTTTTACGTAAAATTTTTAACGAAATATTACGTTTTATTGTTACCCAACAAATATTAGTGCTATCTCTTTATTACATTAACGCATGCATATACTTGCTAAATGTGTACATATTTCTTTGTACCGTTTCTTTCACCTCCTCTAAAATTAGGAATAATGGAGTTAACAGTTTATCACATTTATTTCACCGACGATATGGCATAAATCAAAGTAAAAAAGTAAAGATATCAGTTAACGTCTCCTTTTTGCTGCCAGGGCTAATCTGGACGCTAATCGGGCCTACATTGTTTACGCGGAATCCGAACCGCGGTCCTCGACCGTATCATGATCAATAGCCTACCGACTTGTCAAGTGTCTAAATCAATTCTTACTCACGAGATATCCGATCTCATCCGGCCGCGAACCGGCGTGAATGAGCAGTGTGTGTCAATAGATTTTACACTTTTGCCTTTATTGGACAACAGCACGATACGGAGTTTCGAACCGGTAACCCGTCCATCCACTAGTATCGCCTTACGTTGCTTAACTTCGGTGTTCTAATGGGAACCGGTGTTTCGACGTAGCTAGGCCATTGCCATAGCATAAATCAGAATTGAGTAAAAAATAGAAGTGAGCTACTTTTGAAAAACACCCCGTATAAATAAATCATCCGAATTGCAACTGAATTAAAATGACTAATTAATATACATAGAAATGTGTCAACCGACATTGCATCTTTTTGTCATTTTCGACATTTTCTCTTTGAATAAAAAGATTAAGGAAGAAGCATAATATCAAAAATCTTAGATCGACTGCGACAGAGCCCTAGAATCACAGTTTAAAGAATATATAAATATATTTTATATTCTTTAAACTGTGCTAGAATGGTCGACTTAAATTCCGGTTTATCAGTACCGTTCTAATTTTATTCAAAATATGTAAAATATGATGTAGGGTAGACATGGGGAACTCATTAATTTGTTGTTTTATTTTACGTTGTCAATAAATGTTGATATTAAAATTGTTATAAAAATATACAATTCTAATAAAAATAGATAAGTTATAATAATTATTTATTAACACAAACGTCCGATACGCTACTGAAGCAGATAAGTCAAACTGACGCATCTAAATTCTTGAACAAGTAGTAAATAAAAGCAAAAATGCATGAACAAATATATATATATTAAGTAAATTTTAAGTGAATTTCACAAATGATCGGTTTATTACACGTATGTATATTATATAGTCACTTACTAGCAAAAAGTCATTCCATTATTTCTCTCGATTTTTGAGTCTACCGCATGCTACACAATCAACTATTTTACATAGTGTAAGCAGTACATCAAGAAAATCGGCAAAATCTGACGGTTTATGCAGAAAGCAAGAAATTTTGCATGTGGTCTTAACATATTTATTACATTGAATTTACCCGCAGCATCTCGATTTCCGGACACATTAAATCCAAGATGGCGGCCATTTTATAAAAAAGAAGGAAAAGCGTCAAAATTGCGATATAATTGGGGAACAACTTTCTTTACAATAGCTTACTTCGGGTTTCTCTTATTACCGATTCTGAACCGTCCTAGAACTGTGATGCGTATGCGCAGAAGAAAATATGAAGATATTATTTCATTTGCGCATGCGCTGCAGAGTTCTAGGACGGTTCAGAATCGGTAATAACAAGAACCCGAACAAAGCTGATGTCTTGGAGTTAGTGTTAGGTTAGGTTAGGAACCACTTTTTCCTAACCACCGAAAAGTTCGATTGAAAAGTTGGTAAAATTTCCGGAAAATTTTCCCGGCCAAAATGGAGCTTTTTTCATTTATTCCGATTTGAAATATTTTTGGGCGTAGATCGAGGCAGATTGATTAGTTAAAATTTAAAAAAAAAATTAAAAAAAAAATAAACATCGATTTTTTCACTTTCGTCAATTTTTTTAAAATACAAAGTAACCTATAAAGGGGGTCAAAATGCATTTAGAATTCTTACATTAACGTCATCTAACTGTACCAGGTGAAAAAAGTTCAAAAGGTTAATAAATAAAAAAGTCGATTTTTTTCAAACAGTATCCAGAAATCAACAATCGAAATCTTCTAAATTAAATATCTAGGAAACTATGCATTTTCGAAACACACTTTAAATGGGCGATTATAGGACTCCACTAGCTCTATCCATAGAAGTTTTAATGGTCCTTTAAGTACTTACCGTTTTCGAGATATTTGCGTTTTTTGATTTTGACAAAATTTCAACTTTAAATCGTTCCCAACGGCTTCCTATGTAAATCTAAGAAACGAAAAATAGGCCATGAGAATGCGCCATCAGTCGTCTATCCGACGATGCATAAATGGTTTCTTAGAATTGAAGGGTTTGGGAGATATTTTAAAAAAAGTTGAAAAAAGCAAAATTTCTAAAAAATTTCCTGTCCAAAATTGAGCTTTTGTCACTTATTCCGAATTGAAAGATTTGTGGGCGTGGGTCGATGCGGATTGATTAGTTAAAATTTTTAGTATACACAGTTTGCCAAAAAAGTACATACAGAGGGAGAAAAATAATAATCAATTTTTTCATTTTCGGCAATTTTTTTAAAATACAACGTAACCTAAAAAGGGGGTTAAAATGCATTTAGAATTCTTACATTAACGTCTTATAACCGTACCAGGTGAAAAAAGTTCAAAAAGTAATAAATAAAGAAGTCGATTATTTTCAAAGGGGTATACCTATCCAGAAAATCGACAATCGAAATCTTCTAAATAAAATATCTAAGAAACTATGCATTTTTGAAACACACTTTAAATGGGGCAAATATAGGGTACTGGAGCCCTATATTTACGTAGCCCTATATTTACCGCTCTATCCGTAGAAGTTTTAATGGTCCTTTAAGTACTTACCGTTTTTTTTTAAATCTAACCTGAATTTTAAAAAAAATGGCTGCTATTTTTGTCAGCGGGGTCAGAGTTCAAGGTGCTGCGTGTCAAATCACTTCTACAGATATACAAAGTTCACATACCAAAGGATTTGCTTTCTGCATTATTCGTCAGATTTTTTGGCGTACCGCTTAGACTACAGTCTTTTTCGATAAATCGCAATAGTGTCACTGCTAAGTCCTGCTACAAAATTTCTTTCTAGATTTACTACCTTCAAACAACTATCAGTGGTAGAATAATATAAAATAAGCTCATTAAAGACTGAGAAATCCACAACATTTCAAATCAAATTCAAATGTGTCAAATGAATCGTCAAACAGAACTGTCAAGGATCCCTACTCTAGGTCCCCCTCTCCATCTACCATGCATGAACACATGGATAACATTATGCTCCTTCCTTAATCTTTTTATTCAAAGCATTTTCTACTAGAACATCTTCAGATAAACTACCTGTAATTGCACTAACCATTTGGATATATCACATCACTATTCAAGCCTTCCGGTTCCAGCCATATCTGATGTTCTCGACCACCAAATTTGAGAACTTTCGATTCTATGCTTGGACAGTACCTTGGTCCAGTGACCTCCTCAAAAACATGTCGATTTAAATGTATGTTATCTTTAACGATACTTTCTATTTTTGAATTTGTCATAGTGATATAGCAGGTAACTTGATCTCTAGGCTGAAAGAAAAATGTATGGTATACAATTTTATATCGCTAATCAAAATACGCCGTGTTTTGATTGCGTTGGTTAGTTTGCGGGTTATTTTTTTTGTCTAGATTGCACACGAAATACCCGCCCGAGATGCAAGTCCGACTAGATGCAAGTTTTTATCTACGAGATCTGACTATTTATAACCACAAAGTTGCACGAAAGAGGTTTGATTGCGTTGATTTCAACTTCTTTAGGGGGTTAATCTTTTGTTTACAAGTTCATTTTTATAAGTTATTATATAAGTGATAAATTTGGCACCGTCGCACGGTGTTTCGATCAGTGCGACTGGACAAAATTAATTCAACTTTTTTGTTAATTTTTTTTATTGCTTATGAATATTAACATGCTATTCATTCTAAACAAAGAATATTTGCTAAATATAACTGCTTTTATTTAGCGGAGCGGTCACTTTTGACAGATATGCTCAACGTAACATTAAATTAATTTTGATACACATTCTTCAAACTGAAACCAAACTAAATATAGTTTTTTTTTTGTTTTTACTCTTGGCTTTAGGTCGTTGGGGTTGCAAAGATGTTTCTAGATTTTGTTCATTATTTTTTTATTTTATGACGACGTTTCGACAGTATATGTCTTTTTCAAGCCTCTTTAAGTACATAAAAACAGTCAGTTAAAATCAATAAGACAAAAAAGATCGGTGATAATTGGCTTGGCGGACAGATCAATTCGTCTATCCGACACAGAATATAGAGATGCTGCAATAAAAAAGCAAAAAATGCATTAAAAGAAAATAACCATCCACAAAAACTAATAAACAAAATATTCAAAGATAGGCTCCAAAAATTCTTAAACACAAAAAACAATCAAAATCAAATAGAAAATAAAAAGATTAAAAAAGATACACGATATATTGCGCTCCCCTTCGTAAATGGGTTGTCTCAACAATTACAAGGGTTACACAAAAAGTATAATATAACGATTTGTCATAAAGCACATAACTTGTTAGCTAATAATTTCTCTAAACTAAAATCTGTAACACCGTTAAACAAACGAAGCAATGTTATATATGAAATTCCATGTTCGAACTGCGCCCAAGTTTACATAGGACAAACTTCTCAATGGTTAGAAAATAGACTGAAAGGGCACAAGTATGATAAAAAAATGTAACCGCCCTCACAAATCATGTGTCAACAGAAAATCATACATTCGATTTTAATAAAACTAAAATTTTAAAAACAGAAAATCACCAAAAAAAGAGAGGATTTTATGAAATGGTGGAGATACAAAAAAACGCTACAAAAACGCGGTAAATGATAAAAAAGACCTAAAAAATCTAAGCAAAATATATCTGTCGATCCTCTACGCACTAAAAACAGTAGACATCGGGTTTTGAAATGATAAATGTGTTTTATACAGAGCGATCTGCTAGGAAATACGTACGTGCTCTATAGTAAAGTGTGATGTCCAAAAACAATTAAAACAATAGTTAATATGTGTTATTGTGTTGTCCAGTTTTAACAAATTTTAACTCTGTAAGAATCTACGTTCAAGGTAAGACCTTTTAGTTTGACATTTTATCTTATTGATTTTAACTGACTGTTTTTATGTACTTAAAGAGGCTTAAAAAGACATATACTGTCGAAACGTCGTCATAAAATAAAAAAATAATGAACAAAATCTAGAAACATCTTTGCAACCCCAACGACCTAAAGCCAAGAGTAAAAACAAAAAATATATAGTATACAGGTCAAAGAAACGAAACAAAAAAAAACTAAATATAGTTTGGTATGTATAAATATATTTCTATAAAATCCTACTTACACTAAATATTAGTGATGGGAAAAACCGATTAATTTCAATAATCGAGTACTCGAGTATCAAGCAATTGCAATAACCGAGCGATCGATCGAGCGAAATATCGCTCGTATTTAAAAATACAGTTTTTCGTCCGCCGCTTGTTGTAAGTACTCGTTAACGCCAAGCGCCAAGCAGTAAGTTGCGTACGCAGGGTACAGATTCTTTCGGTGATGAATGGCAAGTAGCAAACGACGAGCGATTCCTGCGATTCGCTTGATCGCTTCATTTAGTTTATTCCAAAGCAATTGTCGATGTAGTAGTAGAATTTTATTCCTCAGATACGCAACGGATAAATATATATACGGCGTCTTATAAATTTGCTACCTGCAATGTATGTAGAAAATTCGCTCGGTTTTTTATCGAGTATGTCACATTAAAATCGGATTTCAATTTATTTCATTCTAGGATCGCTTGCGTTCGTCGCTTGGTACTCGTCACTTGCATCGTTCATAATCGAGCGATACCGGTTATTTCAATAATCGAGTACTCGAGTGAATTTTCGCTCGAGTTATCCCATCACTACTAAATATTTCCTACTGCTTAACATAAACTAATTCTTAACTAATCATTAATCACCATCAGAAGATTGACTCTCATATGCAGTGGTAGTTATGATTTAAAAATATTTTCAGCTTGGGATCACGTAGGGGCATATAAGTTCTAGACTTAAAATACAAAAAAATTAATAGAAAATCATTAATATTATGTACTTTGTACGGGCCCTTATAAAAACTCAAGGAACCTTATCTTTAAGCTCTAAATTCATCACTAAAAAATACCAAGCACTATTATAAAAAAGTACTCTGTGGTACTTTTAATAAATTATATTACACCACGAATTGCACCGTCAGGTAATATACAGGGTGAGTTTTTTACAATGTTCTCTATGGGTATCTCGGAAACTACTGGAATTGCAGTTTTGTGGGGTCATAAATATGCGCCTTTCAGATTTTTGAAAAAGTTCATGGCTTACTAGATATTTCGAAAAAAACAAATTTCGGCTATTTTAAAAATTGTCAGATAATAGTTGTAGATTATCACATCCCTAATGAGTTTGTGTTCTCCGATTTTTTCTAGAGCCGGTCATTTGACACAAACATATGTTTTTTAAATGGAAACCATAGTTGGCCATGACTTCATAAAAAGCGCCATTAAGCTTTTCAGCGATATAAGCTATAATATGTTTTTTTCACAAAATTACTGAGTTATAGCCAATTCTTATCTTTCTTGACTAATTTTACTTAGTTCGTATGGTTGGCATGGTGTGTCATAATGAAAGTCATGTTGGAACCTGTATTAATGCGCGAGTATCTAAATTTAACTTTTCTAACATGCCTTGAAACCCGTTTTCTAAAAAACGTAAGTAACGTTCACTGGTCAACGTATCCTCGAAACTGTATGGCCAAGAAAACTTGAACCAATAATCCTACACGCTTTTCTTCATTTGAAAAATCCATATTTACAATTTTTGTTTTTATTTTAATTTACAAAGTCTGGATGTGACAGTTTAACATTTCTGAGAGCAACATCGATTGAACTTGTTTCCATGGCTAACTGTGTGAAATTAGTCAAGAAAGATAAGAATTGGCTATAACTCAGTAATTTAAAAAAAACCTACGTATATCGCTAAAAAGCTAAAAAATGGGGCTTTTTATGAAGTCATGGCCAACTATGGTTTACATTTAAAAAAAACATATGTTTATGTCATATGTCAAAAATGACAGGCTTAGAAAAAATCGAAGAACACAAACTCATTAGGGATGTGATTATCTGCAACTTTTATCTGAAAACTTTTTGTCTAAAATAGATTATAATGGAACTAGGGACAATTTTTAAAATAGCCAAAATTTGTTTTTTTGTAAATATCTATTAAGCATGAACTTTTTCAAAAATCTGAAAGGCGCATATTTATGACCCCACAAAACTGCAATTCTTTCCCCATATAACCGACTCTCTATCTCCAGTAGTTTCCGAGATACCCTTAGAGAACATCATAGGAAACTCACCCTGTATATACACACTTTTCAAACTTGTATAATTAAATAACTGTAATTATTCGTCAGTTGATTAACTTTAAACAAAAAAGTAATAAAATCGAAACTATCGAAGTTTGTTTGTAATTTTTTGACAAGAGTTGTCAAAATTTACCGAATAACTTTTGACCAGTCAACTTGCTTAATCGAAACACTGTACGTCGGTTTGGCGGCGAATTAAGGGGAGATGAAACAATGTGCAGTAATTTACGAAATACCGTAATGACGTCACCGATATCTCTTTCATCTGGTTGTTAAGTGAAAGAGAGAGTTAGACAATAATATGTGACGTGACTTTGAACGATCGCTAAACAAAGTTTATTCAATATTTAATGAAAACAGGTAAGTAGAGTAAACGCCACGAATGTTTGGGAGTGATTCATCGCTTGATGAAGTTATAATCGACACGCGCGCTATCATTTTTACATTAAAAACGTAAATTTTTACCGCAGACGTAGGTTTTTAAAGGCCCGGTCTAATCATCTGCCTGCGCTCCTCCTACTTATTCTAAAATGTTAGCGTGATTGACATAGACGATACTATATCGCGTTTCTTTGATTGATTCGTTTTTGTGCGTCAGTCCATTGGTGTGCTTGCAGTGCGACCAATGGGGCATTCCATTTTATATTTATAACCAAATATATGTTTTGACAAGACTTTGACAGTTAAAACAACAAATTACAACAGATTATATATTGATTATTATATGACTTGAAAGACCACGGCACTGGAATTAAGTTTTATGTGACCTTGAACAGATTAGTTCACATGGCAGCGACCGATGAATCACTCCCAAACATTGGTGGCGTTTACTCTATTTCAAGCTCTCCAATGTCTAATACTAATAAATATATGATGTGAATAACTTTTACTTACATCTATCCAAACTGAGTCATTCATAAAGGAAAAAGGTAGGGGCGGGTCGTCTCCCAACTGCTTTTCACACCGACTGTAATCTATAGTGTCGGCTTTTAGTCTCGGAGGTGTACCAGTCTTTAACCGTCCCATTTTTAAATTCAATGAGTCTAAGGTATTTGCTAGACCTGTATTATCATCAATTAAAAGAAAATGATTACACAGGAGTCAAATTATGATACAAAGTATATGACAAATTGTAACAGATGATTAATTGTAAATAGATGCAATTCGTTTTTTTTTTATAAAAGATACAAGCATCTTAACAAGTAAAAAGAATGTCTTTTTTGCCTAATTTTGTTTATTCTTTTGATAATTTCGTCAAAATTAACTAAACTAATAGATAATCTTAATGTTTACAGCGTCATGCAGAGAACTGCAGTTGTGTTTGTGACATTTGTTTCATTATCAATATATGCCATGACAGTTGCCACATAACATAATAGCTTTGTACGCACAGCGAAATATCCAACCGGTTGTCAATTTGTTCCTAAGGATCGTTGGCTTCCAACTGGTCCCAAACCTGGGTGTGGATCATGTATGGATTAAGCATAAATAAAGCATCTAAAACTGCACGGTATCACAGCGGTGTGGATGACGTATAAACTATTGGAAATTTTAGCGCTGTTGTCAGATGGTACTTATTATTACGTTATGAATGGCGGAACTAAGTAATGCCTAGCTATAGCCTTCCTATGAAAGCAGCTGTGACTCCGTTGGTAAGACCGTCGCTTCGGGATCGAGAAGTCCCAGGTTCGTTTATATTTATTTACAGCTGCCCTCCATAGACGTGTTTTGATTGCGTTGGTTAGTCTCTGGCGATAAGCTTTTTTTTAGATTGCACGCGAAATACCGACCGATTATCGTTAATGCGCATGCGGGTTGTAGAGTTTCAGGGTCGGCTAGATGCAAGAATTAATCTAAAATGTTTTTTTCGTAAATATCGTAATCTTCCTGTTTTTTGTCTTTTCTTCTATTTTTTCTTAAAGTAATGGTCAAAAAGGTGAAAACTGGCAACGCTGCAAGTAGTGATACCGTGCCGGTTGCACGCTAGTAATTAATAAATTCATTTGCATACGTGAACGTACATCTTATTGGATAGTTTACAGTTATTGGTCATGGATGGCTACACAATGCTACACATTTTTATGGTCAAGTTCTGCGCAAGCAAAAGTTTTCTCTTGGCAACAGGGTTCGGAAGTAGTTAATCAAGACGTAATTTACCTGATTAACTACGTGTAGTTTTTCTTCAAAAACTACGTCTTTTCCCGTTCATTAACTACATAAAAACTACGTATAACTATGTAATTTATATTCATGAATAACTTTTCCCTTATATGAGTGTGAATAGAGCATAATATGATGTAAATATTATATTTACAAGCCATATTTTCTTGCTTGTTTTCTATTAAATACATTATGTGTTTTTAAGCTAACTTATCATACCTCTACTCAAACCTTTGATATTTGAAACTTACATACATAGGTTACATAAACTACACCCTCTACATAAACTACATTAACTACATGTAATGTAGTTTATGTAGTTTTTAAAAGTAACATGTAGTTTTCCGAACCCTGCTTGGCAACCCTGGGTAATCCGCAAATCGCGTGACAATTAACCTTTGACTGTTTTGATTACTATTTATTTACTTTATGGATTGAATGGTAAATAAAATAAATATTTTTCTTCTGGAAGAAATTCAAAATAAGTTCAAAATGTTTCAATTGAAATATTTTTGTCACATTTAATTTTTTTATTCATTTTGATAGAAAAATGTTTTGTCGTCCGCCATCGCCAATTCGTAATGAAAAATGCACATGACTAAAACTAAAAATTTATTACTAGTAGAGGTAGAAGGCCGATTCTGCATCAGTGGAGCAGTGGAGCAGAGCGCACGGCGCATGCGCGAGGAGTGGGGGTACAGCGCAGGCGCGAGGAGGAGGAACACGGCGCAGGCGCGAGGAGGAGGGGGGCTGTCAAACGTCAAACGTCAAACTTGTCATCTGTCAAACGTCAAACATCAAACGTCATATGTCAAACGTCATCTGTCAAACCTTTCTTACGTCATCTGTCAAACGTCAAACGGCATATGTCAAACGTCAAACTTGTCTTACGTCATCTATCAAATGTCATCTGTCAAAGAGGAGGAGGGGTACAGCGCAGACGCGAGAAGGAAGGGGGTTGTCAAACGTCAAATGTCAAACCTGTCAAACGTCAAACCTGGCTTACGTCATCTGTCAAATGTCATCTGTCAAACATATCTACGTCAACGTCAAATGTCAACGCCAATCCCATGTCATATCTGTTATATACAAGGTGTTAATGAAAAACAAACGCTTTACGTCATAGATTGTTTTTTTCACACCCGGTATATATTCCAAAAAAAAAATCTTTTCCATGTTTTTTTAACACAGATGATAATTTTAACGTTTGACGATTGAGTTTTAATTAATAATGCCTTTTGGGTATTCATAAATAATAATAATATTTATTTAAACGGTAAAAAATAAATCAAACTTGGTTCAAAATCAATGATGAAAGAGAGAGCGTTGTGAACAAGGCAATGGTTTACAGTAAAATGATCTAATACTTCAATCTTTACGGCTTCCTCTCATGATGTCATGCTTTTGTTTTTCTAGAAGATGAATCATTGTGATGAATATTTAAGTAAACAACTCAAACTTGGTGAAAATACATTATGCAACATTTATTCCTTATCGGAGTTTGCGGTCGGTATTATTTTTTAATCGGACTTTGCAGCTTCCGGTATGACGACTATGATATCACGCGTTTGTTTTTCTAGATTGCGGTTTCCGTTTCCGTTTCCGACCTAGCATTGTACCCAGCAAACAACTCGCAATTCACATCAGTCTCTACTTGCCTCTCATCGAAATTAGCTGTTTACCAGAAAATAAAAATACCAGCACTTGTGGGGGAATTGCTTTCCCATGCGCGAATTTGGCAAGTCATATGAAGATTTGTAATGGTGAGTTTTTTATTTTATTTTATATTAGTACAACGTTTTTTCTATTTAGCCAATGAACTAAACTGTCTCAAACTAAAGCGTGGACGAGGGTGCAAGCCTTAGTAAACGTAAGTAAATATTTTTATTTTATGTTCTGGCTTTAAAAAAATGCTTTTTATTTTAGATATGTGCCAAAAATGTTTGAAATCCTTTAGCAGAAGTGATAGTTTAGGCAGGCATATGAAGATTTGTAAAGGAGCCCCTAATGGTGAGTTTTATTTTATTTTTATTTTATATTAAATGGTTTTTCTATTTTAGTCAATCAGCCTGAACCAAAAAATTTAGAGAAGACCTCCCTGAAAAGAACAAGCTCTGCCACTAACAGTAAGTAATCAATAATAAAATAAAAATACTTTTTAAATTAATTAACTATTTAATTATTTTTTAACATATTTTCTATTATTTTTAACTTTTTCCATTATTTTTAAATTAATTAACTATTTAATTAGTTTTTTAACATATTTTTTTCTATTATTTTTTTTAACTTTTTCCATTATTTTTTAAATTAATTAACTATTTAATTATTTTCATTAGTCAACTATTATTTAACTTTTTCAATTATTTAAACTAATTAACTATTTAACATATATTTCTATTTTTTTTTTTAACAGAAAGGATCTATTTTATATTAAATATTTTTTTTTCTTTTATTTGGGTCAATCAGGCAGAGTCAGAGTCTTCGGTGCCAAAGAGAGCTAGACTTGGTTTCAATAACGGTAAGTTATTATTATTTTTATACATTTTTTTTTTTTTTTTTTATTTTTTTTTAGAACACTTGGTAATGCAGGAGGAAGGTGTTTACTTAGTTAATACCTCTTACAAAAACCGAATTGCTACATACCGACTTTTATCGAAAAAAGATCCTATCAGCGTTAATGATTTTTTAGCTAATCTCCGCGAAAAAATCATTTCGCTGGTAAGATGCCAAATCGAAAGGTTTGGTAATGTGAAAGTCGGTATGGAGCTTTTCGGTCGCTTCCTCCTGCAGACAAAGGAGGTAGAGGAGACCAAGTCCTTTGGCTCTAGGTTCAGGGGAGCAAGTCAGGGCACCGATTTGGAGGAGTTGTTTGATCAGTTCACTACTATCATTAAGCGGAGATTCCAGGAGTTCAATGAAAAAGATAGTGGTAAGTATATAATTTTTCTGATTTCACCATACTAATTATTTTTTCGTGTAATTAGGTTGGACTCTTCAGCAACTCCTTCACGTAGATGTAAGGGTAACAACCCAATTAAAGTTTCTATCTGCATCAGCAAATAGAAGCAGCATGCTGAACATACAAAACACTGACCAGAAATGTTTTATATGGTTATTTGCTCACCCAGTTCCCAAATTCAGAATTATGAATCTTTCGAGAAGGAATTGGATGTGTCAGGTATAGATTTTCCGATATCTTTGAAACAGGTGTCAAAATTCGAACAACTTAATAATATTTCTATAATGTTTATGGACTCGAGAAGGGTTATAAACACGATAGGAATATTGTTGAAGTTGTAGGTCCTTAGTATTTTACTAGATCTCATAAGGTAGATAGACATGTGAATTTGTTATTAATCAGTGATGATTCTGGAAATAATCATTATTGTTTAATAAGAAAATATGTCTCGCTCTAATCTCAATAGCAACTTTCAGCAAAACAACATTCAAAATTCCTATGCGATGGTTGCTTGGTTTATTTTTCTTCAGATATTAAATTAGAAAATCATCAAAAAAAATACGATTGTGGTCATAAAAGTTAGTGAAACTCTTCGATAATTTAAAAGAAAATAAATACAGAAACATCTCTGAGAATATTGTTAAATTCAATGTATTTCGAACGAAAATTAGAAGTACCTTTTGTTGTATACGCTGATTTTGAAACTATTTTAGAACCTATACAAACAGAGCAAAACGAGCTGGATCCTGAAGTTTCCTATACGGTGAAAACACACCAACACGTTCTTTATTCTTCCACATTAAACGCATTTGATAATTCTCAGTCGATTTTCAAGACTTTTAGAGGACCTGATGCACATAAAGTTTTCATAGATTGGTTAGAGACTGATTGTAAATCAATCTACAATCGATTTATGAAAATATTGTATCCATGTCTCCACTC